CTCAATGATTTTAATCTATCAAAATTTAAAATAACACATGTGCTTTACTTTATTCTGCAAAAATAACTTTTTATTGTCAAACTATTTGGAAACATATTTAAGCATAGAAAAATTACATTTTGTTTTGTGAAACATTTCTAGTTATTTCTCTACAATAAGATTAAGTAAAAAAAAATAATAATTATCTTAACTAAATAAAATTAAACAATTAATATCTATATAAAATGATAATTTTGGTTAAGGTGTTTCCTGGCAATTAGTCATTACCTTTTTTATAATGAGTATGAATTCAGAAGGTACTCAAAATTGTATATTTTGACTGCTAGTAAAATTTTTCCAAAATTTACATTGACATAAAAAATAATATAAAGCAATTGAATCATAAAACCACTTTTTATTATCTAGAACTCACGAGAAATTTTTATACCTTTATAATCAAAGTTACATATGACAAATCCGGTTTATCTAAGTTACAATTTGTAATAATTAATTGCATTTTAATGGCTTAGCAACAATTGCATATATATATATATATATATATATGTATATGTATATATATATATATATATATATTTCTAAGTGGAGACTTATTTGAATAAATGAACGCATAAAACGATTATTAAATCATGCGTTTGTTTAATAATTGATTTTTACATATATAACTAGGCCTATAAAAATACCCAGACAAGTTTTTTTTAATTACTAATTACATTAGAAAATTACGCAAACTTATGTCATGGATTTAATTAGACGTTGAGTTATATCATATTGTAGGTATTGATTAAACATTTTTGTAATTTATGCGTAATGATTCGAGAACTTTATAAAATATATTATTAATTAATTAATTGATGTAAGAGAATACATTTTATGTTAAATTAGGAAATAATTTTCATTTATATATTTTTATCTGAATTATTTTATTCGATTTTTGGTAAACTAGAAGCAAATGGTACACTCCATAAACATATTCATTAATAGAAATGAATTAATAGCAATTCAATTACTATTTACAAACTGTATTTAAAATGCTTCTGAATTAATTATAATACGTAAAAAATAGATTTTTGTTTTAATTTAATATTTATTCTTTATGATTATTATTGGGAAATATATTTGACAATAATTGATAACCTGATATCAATTAGTAAAGATTGTACGAGACATTTCAGTGGTTAATAAATTGTTGCATATTTTTAAAAAAATCTGTAGAACTTCTTTTATTGATAGTGTTCATGGTCTTAACAAATATAGTAAAATATTATAGGCCTACGAGAAGTGGTTTAATTATAACAATTTCTTGATATTTGGAATAATAGGCCTTGTCCAAATTTCAAACTCTTATCGTCAAAATTTTAAAAGTTGTTAAATTTCATTTCTTTTGCAAGTTGTTTTAAGACAAAATTATACTTGGTCAATATTATATTCCTCAGAGTCTTGAAAAATAATAGATTAATGCAATTTAAAGCAACAATATATAGTTTCTAGAATGATTTTTTTTAATATTAATGTATCAAAATCGTTCAAAATTTGAGTCTTGGAAAATAATAGATTATTACGATTTAAAGCAGCAATATACTATACTTTCTAGAATGATTTTTTTTATTATTAATGTATCCAAATCGTTCAAAATTTGTGTCTTTAAGTCTGGGAAAATAATATATTATTAAAATTTAAACTAACAATATACTATTTTTTCTAGAATGATTTTTTTATTATTAATCCATCAAATTTGTTTAAAATTTGTATAATTACTCCATTATAAATTGCCTAAAAATAAATAAGTAAAAAATATAGGAACTGAATAAATAGGTAAATAAAAAAGATTCATCAGTATTACGAGTACTAGGTATTTTGCATGAATTTTTTAATTAAACTGATAAAAACGTATATTTTTAATACTTCTATTATGTTTGAAATACACAAAACAACTATTATATTTGATTACCTGCAAAATATTTTTGTATACACAAATTGTAAATTCCCAGAATTATTTATAATATCATGTCACGGTTTGAGTAATCTATATTTTTGTTAATAACTCTATTTTCTCATCACCGAATTAAAATTTATATATTTAAATATATATATATATATATATATATATATATATAATTTAACAAAATTGAAATTTTAGTGTAAATATTATTATTATCTAATATACTTTACTATATAAATCTCGTGAGAACAAAAACAAGGACATAACAAATAATAATGTCTCTATACTATTTATAGGGACATGGGAAATAATTTAATCATTTGTGGTCAGAAAATTCATAGAAAATGCAACATTAAGAGAAAACGTTAATTTTATATGTCATGGGAGTAATGGATTTATTTGAAAAATATTACATAACATAAATAATAATAGTACATTTTTTAAAACAAAATTTGAATAAAGCTTTTTTTTTTAACTTCTCATATTGAAATACAACGATTTTCGAAGAAAGTTTTTTTCTTTAGAAGGTCCAACCAATTTTCATCATTACTATAAAGTTATATGCCATAGAAGTAATGGATCTATTTGAAATTTATTACATAACATAAATAATAAGAGTACATTTTTTAAAACAAAATTTGAATCGTGGTTAATCTTTTGTTTTTTTAGCCTCCCATATTGAAGATTTTCGAAGAAAGTTTTTTTCTTCAGAAGGTCCAACCAATTTTCATCATTACTATAAAGTTATCAATTGCATTAATTCAATAATGATTCCCAAAATAAGTAGTTGTAGTCATTTTTATCCAACCAGTTTTAATTTTTGCAGAAGGCAAACTACGCAATTATTTTTTGATTAACATTTTCAAATTAGAGGTATTTGCAAACAAGTACTCTCCAATAATTAATCGTTAATATAAATAAATTTTATGATTCATTAAAACCATTTCTTTGTTTTCGTGTTATCGATAAAGTGTCACGAGTGTGCTTTTATTATTGGTAATATTATTAACATGCTTAATTGCGTTTGATATTTTGGCAAAGAAATTAATGTAATTGTAAAGTACTACTTCATATATATATATATATATATATATATATATATATATATATATATATATATATTAGATTTTTTTCTTCGACGTTGAAACATAATTTGAAATATTTAGTTACACCCAGATATTAGAAATAAAAAAAAACTATTAGTTCATGACATCGACAATGTTGAGGCAAATTGCTGCAACTTCCTGTTTTTGAGATTTTGAAAATTTTTGAAAAAAATTACCATTTTGAAAAATTTGATTTTTTTACTTGAAATATTTTGAAAATTGTTACAAAACCCATAGAAAGTAAACAAAATTGGTTATAATGATAAAAATATCTACAAAGTATGAAATAATTTGATACGCATATGTCTAATGATTATTTTTGTCTGCCAAATGCCATTTGTCACTTTTTTTATGGGTTATCCGAAACGGCTAGACCAGTCTTTACCAAAAACTAATCATCAAGTCTCCTTATCAGCAGGAATCAATTGTTTTTTTAATTATTCAAATCGGTTGATCCGGGTTCGCAAAATCGTCGATGAAAAATAGTATCCGCTCATACATACACATACACACACACATTCAACAATTTTTTCTGAGGTATGCCAAAATGTTCAGAAACCTCTGAAACGTAAAGATATATAAAAAATGTTATTTTCAATTTTTTGCAATTATTATAACCTACCCTACGGAAAGATAATTAACTATAAATATGTACGTTTTGACACTGTATGTGTGTCATCATTTAGCAAGTTAACAAATTCGAACCAGGAAATTGACACAAAATTTAAAGACTAAATAAAAGAAACAAATCATTGAATAAAATAAAATATTAAACTAGTAATTAAATTAAAGAATTATATTATATATTTAGTCACATGATTACTACATTCTACATTGTATAATCAATGTCTCTATTACTACCTATATTACTCGTTAATTTCATTTATCAAAATGTTTCGACGATCCACCAATTTTTGTATGCTTTTATAATTTACAACGAGAAAAACCCTGTAGTGCAAATTGTTGGAATAATGTTGCATGTAGTTGCATTTGTTTGCAAAGTGCATTAGTTGGGATAAACCAGTTTCTTTCAACTAACTTGTTTGAAAAAATGTCTCTTCACATTGAAATATTTATTAAATCAAATATGAATTTATTAGATAATTTAAGTAAATCAAATTATATTAAAAAAGATAAGATTAAAATATGAAATTAATATTATTGGTTAATGTTACAAGTTACAAATATATTTTACCCTTCACACTTTTTTACAAAAGTCCAGTCCGGTGTTTGAAAAATTATCTTTGAGAGGAAAATATTTAATAAATTAAATATTAATGCGATAGATAGTATTGTTATTTTAAAATATTAAAAAACATATGTTTAAAATTCAAAATTGAATTTTATTATTTATTGTCACAACTATTTTTTGACTCTTCTGACTTTTTTTATATAAAAGTCCATACAGTTTTAAAAATAGTCAACCTTATAATGAACCAATCAAACAATATCTTTCTAAATGAAATTAATGTCTGTAATGTATACAATTTTTAACATCCCATAAAGTAAGTTGAAGTAATTGCAAAAAATCGAAATTAGTTCTTTTTGCATACTTTTGCCTTTCAAAGGTTTCAGAGCATTTTGGCATACCTTAGAACAAATGGTTGTACGTGTGTGTTTTTTTTTTGTAATTTTTTTCTATAGCGAAGGAAATGCTTTTATGCATCCCAGACTGGATGTAAGTGTGTGTGTATGTATATTTGTGCGGATACAATTTTTTGTCGACAATTTCAAGAGCACGGATCAACTGATTTGAATGATTCAAAAAACATTCGATTCCTATTGATGGGGAGACGTACTGATTAACTTAGTCTTTGGCAAGTGCAAGTCCAGTCGTTTCGAAAAAGTCCAGATGTTTCAAAAAATGATAAAACTTTGAAAAAATTTAGCAATGGTATCGGAAGTTCTAGCACAACTAGTTTGAAATTTGATTTTATTTTAATAATTTTGCTCACCTCTCTTCAGCAGTCAAATGCGCCAACTCCGGAACATAGCACCAATGTTCTTCCGGAGCCACGGTTATAAAAATCTGCGTAAAATACACAAACGCCACAAAAAACGCATAAGGTATCATCAGCAAGAACAGAACTTTTTGATATACCCCAAATTCTCCAATGTGCGGCAATACATCATCGAAATCCAGAAGCTTCCCATCGTCTTTGGATTTTTCATCGTCATTCAGCGGGGAAACCTTGGGCAACTTTCCTGGAAAATCGCCGACGCCTTTTTCGAAGGCTTCATTGATGTAACCGGTTTTTCCTATTGGGGGTAAACTCAGGGCACCACAGGCACCGGTTTCTGTGTCTTCTGTGCTGGTATTGACCGGTGGTAAGGAATTGGAACCGTAGGGCGGCATTTTTTTGGCACTTGGGGTAATGGATTTATTTAAATGGCTTGGGATTTGTTGGTTTTATCACAAAATGGTAGCAGGGACTAGATACACTTAAAGATTAACTTTAAATAATAATTTTATATAAATCACAAAATGTACTAATTATACCAGGGGTCTTTGCTCACTGTTCTATATAATTCACTAAAATCTTATACGTGCTAATGAAATGTCTTGTATATATCACAATTGGTAGAATGCAATATAATACTATAATACAAATTTCTATAAAGTGTTCACTCAAATCATAGATTGTATCCACGATGTGTCTCATCAGCACCTATTTTTTTTTAATTCACTAGTTTACCCGGATTGATAGGAAAAATGAATTCGATCATCGATTATAATCGATTGCTTTACAGGTGTCATGTTAGTGTGTTTTCCATATGCAATTGTTTCGATATGCGCGTACGCCGGACGCTTTGCTGGTACTGAAGCGCTTATTATGCGGGAGCGACGTCTTATATAGAGTGAACGGTTCTGACAAGGCCGATGTGCGTGCGTTTACGGTCATGAGAAAAAAACCGAAGAACCGAAGCCAGGAATTGTTATCTTAACTAGGAATACTTGGTAGAAAGATGCCCTATGCAGTACTTGGAGTACTTGGTATAAAGATGCCCTATGCACATCATCAATTACTTTTTTTGCCTTAGCAAGTTGCATAAACTACCCGAAATATATAGGGTTGAGCGTGGCACAAAAGTCAAATTTAAATTTGAGCACTTATATTATGAAACCAATAATATAACAACAATCATTTGCCTATGTTCAGTAAAACCCCTAGCTAATTTATCATTATAAAATGAGGAACAAACTATAAAATTTTTGTTGTTTTTCAAAGAATTTCTACCTTAGTTGGGGTAAAATAAAACTGCTGCTGGACAAATATATCCACCGTTTTATTTTTAATTTAAAATTTTTAACCAATGCAAAATATACATTTTACAGACATAACTGCTAGAGGACAAACATATTCATTGTTTTACTTTTAATTTAAAATTTTCAACCAATGCAAAATATACATTTTATAGACATAACACTGTATATAAACTTGGTATTTTGTCAGATATCACTGATTTATATCTTGTAAAATTGCATTTCTCAGCTTAATTTACCTCTTTATTTAATATTTTCTATTGATTACACCTTTGCCATGGTAAAGGTTCAATTTCTCTTTTTTGCCCCACCCACGTGCAAGCTTTTATAGAGGTTATATAAAAAATGTTGAATCTTACATGGCGAAAGAATCGAGGTGATAGATTCTTCTCCCTACTTTCAAATATTCTAGTTAAAATTTCCTAACTTTACAGGTTTTTGAGATATCGGTAGTGAACCTTTTTACCCACAGACCTTTAAACCCCACTTCACCCTAAATAATCAATAAAGATATAATTTTAGCTATTAAAGTAAAAGATTTAACAGTTTATTCCGCAAATCAAATTTTTGCTTTCAGTAAAATACTCTTTACAATTGATAACTTTTAAACATACCTATAATATCTGTTATTGTATAAATTATATTAATTTGGTTAACGAATTTTATTTCATCTATTTCGGTTTTTAAAAATGTATTTTTATTGAGTTAGGTTGTCAGCTGTAATCAGTAGCTTACCTATGAAACACGAAATGTATACAGATGTTTAGCATAGAATCGGACTAGAATCGTTTAACTCCAAGGCGAAATAATAAATCTTGAAGAATTTTTATAATTCAACCACTTATCGTAGGACTAGACTACTTTAGTATGCTATTATAGACCACAAAATCTATCGATATACAAAGCTTTATCAAAATAATCAGAAAACTTTTTTCAACATTTAACTACGAAGAAACATCCCGGCCAATCTTTAACGAAAACTAATCAACGTGATTCTCAGCCAATATTTAAAAGATTGAAATTGATTTAAGATAATGGGCCTAAAAAGAGACGAAAAATTGTACACTTTTCTGCTAATTATAAAGAAACAGCTTGGCCGATCGTCGCACAAAACTGATTTATTTTATGTAACTAATTTATGTTTAAATTACGTTGTAATTATATATTATTATACTAGTATACGTTTTGTGTTTAAATTTGAAGATCGTCAATTCTATTTGGGGTCTTTCATTTAATGTACAGATTATTTTTAGAATTTCTCATTCATGATTTATGCAAAGTGGGTTTTAAAAATAAAAATAATATTACTTTATTTTATAACACTTCTTAGAATCAATTTTCAGTCCGAACAAATTGAAACTTCATAAAGTACGTTTTATGAGGTGTTGTAAAATATATTGAAATGCAAAAAGGCGTTCATTTTCATAGTCAATGGTTATATGGTAATATCAATTTGCATATAAATTTGCTTTGTAATAATATTTCACCAGGAAGGGAGAATATAAAGCTAGGTGTACATCATTGCAATAGTACATATATATTAGATACATTTTATCGTTTTGTTTAAAAAGGACGAATTAGACATTTTTGAATTATAATATGTTTGAATTTTCAATAAGTACTTAACAACACGATAATCTAAACACCTGATTAGCCATAATGTGTTATTTTTTCTTTATGAAAACAATTATGAATCGTTGATGTTTAGTAATAAAAAATATATAATTATTTGCATTTATCGAATTTGTTGCAAAGCATAAAACTAGTAATTATGTGGGTACAGAGCAGGTTTTATGCAAGTACGTTCTTGTTTTTATATTTTTCCACATTTCATTTTAATTATGAAGAATTTTGCGGTAATAACAGGATTTCCAAGTGAGAAAATTGTATATGAGATTTATTTAAATAATTACAAAAATATTTATTCATGTTAACATATAAAAATTATTAATGAATAGAAAATGCAAGTGATTTTTTCTATTTATTTAAACATCGTCGATCACAGAAATTGTTACCCATTATCAAAAAGTGATAAAATTAAAACAAAATAAGGTATATAAAAACAAGTAAGTCTGTAATAATAACGCAAGCTAATATTTTGTGATAATACAATTTTAAATTACCCTTCAAAAATGACGCACCTGCACAATTCTGTTTACTTTCTTGGACAGTAGCTATGACAATATTAGAACGGTTTACATGTCTAATAAAAAAAAATATTTTAATATTGTTCAAGATCCTATTAAAAAAAACTATTATTACCTACTCCTTACAATAAGCCCCTAGTTCTATTATTGAAAAAAATATATATTTTTTATAGTTTGAATAAAAATTTTAAAATTAAAAGACTGGTAAGTAAGAAAAATATTTAAATAAGTTTGTTAAGATTTGAGTTATTGAAAATTGTTGTGAAGAATAAGATACTTGCAATAAAATTGCATTGGTCGATACAAAATATTTGCATACATGGTGATGAATGGAATGGATATTTTTAACAAATTTTGATAATTTGTAAAAAGTACACATTGAATACATTAAAATTAAGAATGAATTTTATTTTCAATATTTTACTTTATCCTTGTATCTGTTATCTAAGATTTTTTTTCTATAAAAATACAAAATGCGTCTATGTGCATCTACGTCATTAGGCAATTTAAAACAGTTATTACCAAACCTGTTTGTATGCAAAAGCAATATTGAAAGCCGAAAATAGGTCTCGTTTCTTGCATCTTACGTCTTGTATGCACTTCTATAAAATTGTTAGCTTTCTTCCATACCAGTTTCCTAATCTACGTCACCAGAAGCTCTGGGAATACCCATTTGTAGCATTAAAATAGTAATTGAAACCCACGTAATCATTACGTTTCATTGAATTTTCATACATTCTTCCAGTATTTTTACATTTTAATTGTTACAAACTTGGTTGACCAGGCAATTGATAATAATATATCATCAGTCATTAGAATTAATTGATAATCTTGAATTGTTGCACTTAATTTTATCTTTTTTTCAGACTTGATAAAATTTATTCCTATATAAAATTTTATGGATAAAATTCTAGACTTTTCTCCATGGGGTGAATTCAAAATTATTATTTTTTCTTCTATTCTAATTTGTTTCCCCTCTTTCCCTGTAGCAAAATTTCATGAAACTCGATAAGTACTCGCGTTGATTACTTTTTAAATATCGGTCGAGACGTTGCTTTACAGTTTGGTTGTAAACAAACGTTCATGTTTTAGCCAAAAATTCTGAATGGATTTTAAACATTCAAAAACTGTTCAGTTTTTGGCATAGATCGGTCAGAAGTTTCTTCGTAATTAAATGATAATAAAATATTTTTTACGATTTTGATAAAACTTAACATGGTGATGTAGTTTATGGTCCAAATATAAATCCTAAAATAATATAGTCTTACAAAAAGTAATAGAATTGTAAAAATTCAATAACATTTGGAATAACGAGATGCTTTAACACATTCAAGTTTGTGTTTGTGCACTATTATTAGAAGAATCACAGATCTTATAATACAATAGTCTGTTAAAAATATATTAATTAGGAATCCCATTGATTTGTTTTTATTGAAATTAAAAGAATCACAGATCTTATAATACAATAGCCTGTTAATATATATTAATTATTAATTAAAATTTTATTTTCGAAATAAACCGTTAAAACTTTGAACTAAATCGCCAACCTTAAATTTTTACTCAAAGTCGATATACAATTTACACATATCGGGAACTTTATGCAACTTACTTAAGGGCAAAATGCCACTTATACGTAGTTTTGCATAAATTTATGACAATTAAGACTTTATACATAATTGTTATCATAAGAAATATTCCTATCGAAAATAAATAGCTAATATTAGCTTTGAAATTATGATGATGATAACTTGACAATATTCATTAACGCGATTTATTGTCAGAGATGTAACTCTGAAAATTAATAAAAGACTTTTCCTTAGTAAATACTAAGAAACAAATTTAATGTTATAGACATTTTAATACTCTATTACATATATATATATATATATATATATATATATATATCTTTGCATATTGAAACCGTAATCACAAAGACAGAAAATCGTTTAACATGTAAATATGAGATTGTTACAATTTTGCATAATTGGATTGTATATTACGAAATTATTCTGTTTTATACGCCTAGTATAATAATAAATAATATCGAACATATTTTATAAGTTTATAGACTGGGAGTAAATAATAAAGTTTATTATTCTAATCAAAACCTACAATAAATTAACATTGATTTTTAATATAGGTATAAAATCATATAGTCTCAGATAAATTTGTTTTCACAGAACAGTTGAAATAAAAATAATTTGAATATATTCTGAAAGGAATTATACTGTGATAGTAATTTGTATTATTTATTAAGCTTTTCTCAAAATATTGTAAATTCAAAAATAAACCACCAACACAAAATTATTTTGAGAGTAGTTTTCTGTCAATATAATCAGTTTTGACAAAGTCTTTCAAATATTAATTTTAAACAAGATCTGTATACTAACAGAAACAGTTTACTTTGTATTCATATATCAAATATAAACTTAATTTAGCTTTAGTATATAATTTATAAAATTGTTCGATATGCTAATCCATTTACATTTATGCAATATACTTAATAATACATTTCATGCAGTTCTCGTTCATTTTTCTTAAGGCACAATTTAATATTGATTTATTCAAATCGTTTCCACATGTTCAGCTAATTAAATTTTGCATAAATTACATATAGTTTGCACAAATTACTTCTGTTGACAGTTAAGATATTTATTTGTGTTAATCTTATAATAGATTTTCATTTGAGGCATGTGACTTTGTGTCAATGTTTGACTTATTTTCTTGCTGGGAAATGGCTGAACAAATTAATTTAAATTGAATAATATATTAAGTATGAGTCAATTCATATTGATAATAAGTTTAATCAGATACGATATACAATTTTTTAAATATATAAAAGTTTGATGTAAAAGTGAATTCAGTAAAAAAATGATCTTTTTCCTAAATTTGAGTCGTACATTTTATTACATGTAATTAATATATAAAGAAGGCGAAAAATCAATCATACCAGAAATTTTAACCAAATTTGTAAAAATTATAATATTATTAGAAAATTAATACATGGAATTAAGTTACAAGAGAACTATTAACCGCTAATATTATTATCAGATTAAGAATTACTTTTTTCTCGAATAGAGTGTATAAAACTAAAAATTTTTCTAGATGCGTTCTTGCGTAATATCTATGATATAATATTCAATATTTATCGATGATAAAGTTATAATAACTAATTACTTTCATTTAATTGACTTCACCTTGACTGCATCTACCATTAGATGATCCTTTGGTCAATAAATGATATGTGTAATTTTCTTGAGTAATATTCTTTTCAATATTATTAAATGCAAATTAGTCGCAAAATCATCTAGGATCTATATAATTTCAAGAGAATCATAATCATAATTGATTAGTTTTCGTATAATACGATTTTAATATACTAATTTATTAAAGCAACAAATTAGGAACACGCAGATGATGATTTAAAATGACATTAGATGCAATTCAAAATAACAATATTTTTATAAATATAGATTGTTTATTTTATAATAATTATTTTCTACAATGACAAATTCGTTAACATTTCATTCGAAATGACTTTTATCCGTTTGTTGTTTTTTGTAAAATTAACCTCTAATCAATCAAGCGAATAATAGTTTTCGTTAATCGTCAATGTTCAATGATTAATTGCTGATTATTTCCTAGATAGATTAGAAATAAGTCATTTCTAATATATATTTTATATGTTTTCATTGAAGCGAAAAATTGAAGGTTTTAAAATGCAGTTTTTAGGAAGATACTGAATATTTGATTGAAGGATTTGGCTTGACCATTCACATGTCAATCTTTGGAGCTATGAAAAAAATTACTGGAAGCCATATTTAAATTATCAAAATTTTTTTCATTAAAAAAATGACAAGTTATGTCTAATTTATTGATTGCTTATCGGAATCATACATAAAAATTTTCGTAAGGCATTAACCATAAAAAACAATATGGTTCTTGTTAAATAAACAATTATTCTAGTTACAGAATGTTTTTATTTGTACAAAAAAAAATTTCCTAATTCATTCATCTTCTTACTTTGCCACACATTTTCTGCTGAATTTCCATCAAACTCTTACCTTTTGTCTCTGGTACAAGAAATACAATATGCAAACTAGCCAGAACCATAAATCCAGAAAATATCAAAAAAGTCGAACCCATTCCAAGAAAACTATTCAAAAATGGAAAACTTTTATTAATTCCAAAATTTAGAACTGAAGTCAATACCACCGAAGCTCCAAAAGCATATTGTTTAGCCTTTGGTGCAATCAGTTCTCCGGTCAAAGTTGGACCTAAGGCGCTAAATCCCCAAACAAAACTTATCGAATGCACCATAAGACAAACTATGGGTAGCCAACCAGATTTGAAGTCTAATAAAGATTGGATACCCAAAATTCCTAAGGTTATGCAGGATATGACGCTATTTTGTAAGAGAAGATGCTTTCTGGGAAACCGTTCAATTATAAAGAGTTGGAGAAATGCTGCTCCAAATTGAACTGCAAAATTGATAATTGCTGCTGTCTTAGGATCGACCGCACTTCCAGCATCCTAAAAAATATACAGGATTTACTATAAACTTTGATAATGCACACGTTATTTTACCTTAAAAATTTTTTCAGCGTAGGACATCACGAAGTTCATTCCGCAGAGTTGATATGATGCGACAACCCCCATGGATATAAAGAATCCTCTAACAAAAGCCTTGTCTTTCATTAATTGCCTAATTGTGGTTTTTTCAGCAACAGTAGTAGATTCTACCAAATTTATTAAATCTTCCAATACATGTCTGCTCTTTCGTTCACCATGCAAAATTTGCAAGGACCTCCTTGCCAAATGGTATTCTTCCTTTATCACATAATAGACCGGTGATTCAGGAGCAAAGTAGAATATGATAATGAATAGCAGACATAAAATATTTAAAGCTATTGCTAATCCTCTGTAATCTAAGATTGTCGATAGAAGTAGACTCATCAATGCTCCAAAGGACATGGATAGTGGAAATAATGCTCCAAACATAGCTCTGTTTTTGGGTTCAGAGATTTCAAAAATATACATCGGGATCACAACACATGCTCCTCCGAGAGATACTCCTGCCAATATTCTTGCAATGTAGAATAGCCAGGCTTTTGTACCCAATATTATTAGCATCCAAGATGCTATGAAAGGAATAGCGTCGATTAATGCTGTAATTCTTCTGCCAATTCTATGAACTAAGAAACCAGAAATAAATGCGCCTGGAATTGCACCAACTGCTATTAGGGAGACTATCCATGAACCTGAAATGTAGGCAAATAATGATTCATATTTTACGTTGGGAACGTTCAATAAGGCGTATATTATTTTCGATTATTATTTTATTTTTGACTTTTGTATAATAAAGAAAAACATACTGACCTTCTTCTTGGGTAAAGGTGATAGTGGAATTTGGATTCTGTAGTTCTGGTAAAGCCGAAGCAGGCCACAAGAGCATGGCTCCGACAACAACATCCAAAATACATACTACAAAAAATAACAATAATAAATTAATTTATTTTGAACTTCTCGTAGGGCAAGTTATAGTAAACGCAAAAAAATCGAAAATGAAAATGTTTATATATCTTTACGTTCCAATGGTTTCTGGGCATTTTGGCATACCATAGAAAAAATGATGTATGTGTGTTTGTGTATGTGTGTGCAAGTGTGTGTGTGTGTGCGGATACAAAATTTTTGTCGACGATTTCGGGAACACGGATCAACCGATTTGAAAAATTCAAAAAACATTCAATTCGTATTGATAAGCAGACGCGCTGATTAGTTTTTGGCAAAGGCAGGTCTAGCCGTTCCGAATATATGGGACAAAAAGTCCAAAAACGGTAACTCAGTTTTTAAGAGAACGGATCGTCCGATTTTAATAATTCAAAAAACATTTTACTTGTCTTGACAAAATGAAGAACTGATTTTTGGGAAGGCAGGTCCAGCGGTTATGGCTTCTCAATAAAAATAAGTTTAAAAAATGTCATTTGGCGGTCAAAAATGTTTATTGGACTTATGCACATCAAATTATCAGATATTTTATAGAGATTTTCATAATGTGTACACATTTTGTGTTTTTTGGGGTTTCGTACTAAGATTTATAATTACGGTACGAGAAGTTACAGCAATTTGCCTTAAGACACGATGCCATGCACCCCACTAGTTTAATATTGATTTACTGTGATGACGAACAGAATCGTCTAAGTGGATTCTGGATCATGAACAGAAATAAGAGTTGGTATGAAAAGAGTCTCTAAAGATATCGGAAAGAATTCAATTAACTTGAAGATGTGGAGCACTTCCAGTAATAGGGGAGCATCTTAACTCTGAACTGATTTAAAGATCAGGGTAAGAATTATTTCTCCAATGCAGTACAAAAAATGTGGGCGGCTGAAAAAACTGAGTGGGCACTTCTTGGATAAATTAGAAATGTTATGGTAATGCTATGTTATGGATCTATATTCGTATGAGGTGGTAGTAACGAATTGTCAATATCCAAGTATTTGCTGTGTTATCAAATATTTGCACATATAACCTAACTTTACATATGCACATAAAACGTATGCGTTAGCAAGGAGTCATCAGAAAGATGCACTAGTGATAAAATTGTTATTGGACGTTTGTGTGTTTTGTAGGTTAGATTTTATGTGTAATGGCTAAGAACATACTGCTATAGATTTTTGAGAGTTTGCTACTACCGTATTATACGAAGATAGACCCATTACAGAGCATTACCTTAAAATTTCTATTTTATTAGACAATTGGCCTTTCAAGAGCCTAGAGCAGTGATTTACAAAGTGGTCCACGTGGACCCCCAGGGGTCCATGCCTACTTTCGAGGGGTCCACGGCAATAAAAACAAAATTTGGGGTCCACGGCATATTTAGAAATAATTTAAACTTTAAATGTTAGTATTGAGAGCGGAGCCAGCGACCCATCAACCTCGCATATATCAGAAACTATTGAATGTTCCAACTTTAAATTTTTGTCAAATATATAATAAAGTGTACTTATAATGTATGTCAAGTTTCATCAAAATCGAATCATGCATTTTTGAAAATGTACAATCTGTTTCAATACTAGTATTGAGAGCGGAGCCAGCCATCGATCAACCTCGTATATCTCCAAAACTATTGAATGATCCAACTTTAAATTTTTGTCAAATATTTAGTGTGAAGAAACTTTTACCAAATAATGAGATGATAGCCGAATTTTGTGGCACAAACAAGTTTGGGAACCTATGGTCTAGAATGATAGAATAGCTTTTTTAGTTTGCTACTACCAAATCATACGAAGATAGACCCGTAACATAGCATTACCATAACATTTCTATTTTATTCGAAAATTGGCTCTTGCATCGGAATTGATGAAATACTACAGTTTTTTGGATCAGACACGTGGATACTAAGAAATTGCAAGAACAACTAATATAAGCCTTTTTCATTTGTACAGCTATATGGATCAGACACATGGACTCTAACGAATGCCAACAAAAATTGTTTAAATTATTGTGCAATATAGAGCAGGAAAAGTTTACAATACTATCGATCTATCAAACATACATTTTGCAGGCAAACTCAGTTTTTCTCTATTCAGCAAATTTCTATTGAATTTTACAACATTTCCGTATACATAAATTACTTATTTCACCATAAATTCCTGCCTTGTCACATAAATTGAATCTTTGAATATTCAAATCACGAGTGCGACAATTATTTCAACATTATTCCGTTTGCGTATAAATAAAACAATGAATATTTCACATTCGTACTAAAAAACGTTTTTAGATTAAGAAAAATTAGTTCAACGTACTTACTGGATATCGCAGAAAGCAACACAGGTATTATATCAGTTTTTCTCGAAAAAACTGAACGTTTTTGAAGATTCAAAATTTGTAAAGCTATTTCTTCATCTTGTGTTTGTTTTTGAACCATTTTGAAAAATAAATGTGGATACTAAGAAATATATAAAATTTGCTTAAACCATAAATCTTATTGCAACAAAAAATATAAAAGTTGATGTATTTGAATACATTTTCGCATATTTTTTTAACTTTTACGTACAGCAATACGTCAACAAGTTAATTGAACTTGAAATTTCCCTACAATGTGTAATAGTTTTTTTTAGATGAAATCTGGGTGAAATAGAACTAAAATTTCTGATTAAAATATTTATTGTGATTATTAATACATATAGAATGACTAAAACATTCTTAATAATTTTATAAACATTCGTTTTCTAACTCTATCTCCAAAACGGCTGAAACTGCCTTTGACAAAAACTAATCAGTACGTCTCCCCGTCAATACGAATAGAATGTTATTTAAATCCCGGAATCGTAGACGAAAAATTGTAACCCACAATATACCCACACAAATACATACATTTTATATAAGACATGCCAAAATATTTAGGAGGTCTTGAATCATAAAAATATGCAAAATTCTTCATTTTAAATTTTTTAGTGATTTTTATAACTGACTACCTTAAGTTATCAAAATACATTTGAATTATTTTTTTATTTCAAATATTTTTTATTAGATTTTTTCACAATTTTCTTTATTGTTTTGAATTATATTTATGCTAGTAGATTGCAGTCAAGGATTAATCCACATTTTTTCACATTGACCCAGAAAATCTGCACATTGATGGTTATATGTCATATTGTTTATAAATTATCTGGAATAACAATTAATTAATTTATTATCTATATCATGAAAGAGAAGTTTAAATCAATAGAAACACACGTTTGTTGCAGAAAATAATTATTTTGTATCATCTATTTTAATGATCTTAAGTATATTAAAAACTATTTCAAAATAAGTAATATTGCTTGACATTTTTTCCATATTTATTTACTTATATTTTAATTATTTATTAATGAATTATTGATAAGTTATTGATTTTTATACTCATATATTTATTCAGTTATTTATTCATTAGGTTATTTATACATTGACTTCCTATAGTTTTTATTTAATTAGTTTATTTATATTTTAGTTATGGATTTATAAATTATGTTTCTATATTAAACTATTGGTTTATATTTTTGTTTTTTACAAGTTTTTTAGTAATAAGTAACCCAATGTACTCTATTTTTTCTACATTATTACACATTGTTTTCTGAATAATTTCGAATTGCAAATTTAAATTTGCATAAATAACTGTATTTATTATAGTTATTATTTTACTATACGCCTAATGTTGATAATTTTTTATCTGAACACGTTCTTCATTGATAGTTAGTTTAATGAGTTTTAAACAAAAAAAAAATCATATCATTAATCAATTGAATTATCATATTTGATATTCATAAATCATACATTTTGTAGAGAAAAAAATGACATGTAATTTTAAAATGTATCGAAAAGCAATAAGAATGTATGTAATAATCATAAACATATATGTAGAAGTAAGTAGATACTTCTTGGTAGACAGTAGAGTATATGAAGTACAGAATAATGGAACAAATTGGTATAATTTTTACTTGAAATTATATTTTCTGTCAAATTCTTATTGCTGTCTATTAAGAATTGCAATAATTTTACGAAGTAGAAACTACGAAAAATAATCTGTGTAAACAGTGTGAACTAATCAAGTGCACAATATCACTACAAGCAAAAGTTTTTTGAATCATAAAGTAGGTATTATACCCCGGCGATATTGACATACCCTTACAAAAGACCTAGTCTGAGATGCCTAGATGCATTTCCTTTGCTGTACAAAAAAAGAGCGCGCGTAAGGTTCACACGCGATTGAGGTAAAACTTACTCAATAAACTCTACTGTACAAGATGCCATTTAAGTTAAATTAAATACATCATATAACAATTTTGAATAATGTTTATTAGGAATATGGTAACACTCGAAATGCACACATTTATTAATGTCAACCATTATACTTATTTATATAATAATAAATTATAAATTATATATTTGTAGTAGCATTCAAATATTTATAATATTTGAAAACAAAATGTAATTAAAGTCATACCTCAATTACGAAATCGTGGTTTGTCATTGTACTTAACATTTAGGACTTGAACCTTCTTTAGAGAAATGAAGTAATTGCTGATTAATAAATTCTATAATGTTCGTTAGTGAGTGGATTATGTTAAACAACGCCTAAACAAATATTGTTTTCGCAACTTCACTCATCATGCATTTGTGTTTTAAGAACTTCATGTAATTAAAATTCATTGACTGATGGTATGTTTTTACTTTTTCGCTGGCAATATAATCTCATTCTTTGAACAGCTGTAAAATTTATTTTTTGCCTAAAAATATTTTCCATTTCAATAACTTGAAAGATTTATAGAAATTACGAATAATATTATATAGATTAATATTATATAAAAAGAAATAATTTCTAAGGAACAAGGTAAAATATTAAGGAATAGAGTAAAATATTCTTCTGATTCAGGCATTTTTCATTATATCAAGATTTGTGCTACGATGTAACTTCAAAATGTTTATTTTTCACGCCGATTTCCTTGTTGATATCTGTACGCATACAACGTCGATGCCGGTACGCATACAACGACAGATCTCTATTCACATGACGATTAATCACAATCGACCCGTATAGAAATGATATCATCATTGGCACTCGACTCTTATCTTATCTCCAGTAACGCACTTCCGTTGCATTTGTGCGGATTTACACCCTAGTTGCGCCTAAAGAAGTTTTACTTCAAAAAACATACACATTGAATGTTCAGGAGGTCATAAAACAAAAATTTTAATTTTTGATGATATGGAGATTAGTAACTAGACCTTTTTGGAGAAAGCATGAACTTCCTCTTCAAGAAGTTAATAAAAAAATCTGAAGGTGATAATTGTAGGAAATTGAAAGACTTGACACAGGGACTAAAAGCTTGGGAAGAATTGAAATGTAAAATGTATGAAACGAATTTTCAACAAAAAAGAAGCAATCTTATTATCGACTTATGAAAATTTAATTTGTAGTAAAAATCAATGTGAAAAGATTGTACACTGCATTCCTGAATTATCTTCAACCATATGTAAATAAAATAGTTAAGAAGTTTATTTGTGTTCAACCTGGATGTCTTTTTGGTTAATATTGTTAATTTACCAACTAACCCCAATTTCCTCTATTTTCTCATCACAAATCACTGATTTTTTATTATCAACTAACCTTTGACGTTGTTCCATATGTAATAGTTCGTGCTGATTCGTTTAAGATTGATTGCTCTTCCTCGCAAATGATAATTTTGTTCGAACTTTTCGATTTAGATCATCATTTCACGGCCAACGGTGAAATGGTACGGTCGTGAATCCTTAAAAAATAATTAAAAAATCATATTTGGAAAAAGTTACATACCAATTTTGTTTGGTTTGTGGAAGTTATGCTATAAATGTGAAAATAAATCATTTCTACTAAATTGTTCAAAATCCTTTAAAATCTTCAAGGTGCTAAAGTGTTCAATATTTATTACCACTGTATACTCATTTTAATACCACCACAGTTATATAATAAAAAATTATTAGTAGTGTTATTGTTGTGGTTTTTATATTAATCAAATCATATATTTAAAAGCAAGTGCATGAACATAATTTTAAAATCTTGGTGGAATTAGTGTGCATATAAGTTTATTATAAAAATTTATTTTTAATATATTAAAAATGGATACAAAAGAAGAAAAATTAGCAACAAGTATACCTCTACTTCATGTTCTCGAGAGTGAACAGAAAGAAGTTGAGAAGGATAAAAGGATGCCACAATTGCTGTGTACATTATCTAGTAAGAACTACTATTAATAAAATAAATTTATATACATTCATATTTATTATATGATAATACATTAATTGCTTAATATATAGGGATTCAAAAAAAAGATTTTACCTGAGAATTTGTCAATTTGTGATTTTTATGTTATCATATTTCCTTGAATTTTCTTCCTAATTTTTCCTTAAACTGACCAAATTGAAGAATATTCAATCAATTTCCAAATACGTTCCATACCTTCTTCACATCAGCCAAAAACAAATATTTTTCTAACAAACACGTATCACTAACTTTAAATCAGTGTCTTTTAACAAAAAAAATAGGAATTTACTTCATTTATAATAATTTTTTTTAATTAATAAAAAGCAAAACAATTCTGTCTATAAAAAATCGAGTTACTCTCATTTTTATTAAATTATTAAGATGATACATTGTAAAGTTTATATATAAAATGAGTTATTATAAAGTTTGCATATACATATAATTTAAGTATTATAATAAAATACCTACAAAAAGTTAGTTGTTTTTGAAATCGAATGATCATAATTTCTAATAAATTAATTTAAGTTAATTTATAAATCAGTTAAATATATGTAAAATATTTTAATACATATATACATGAATCTCAATATTTTATATGTATATATAAAAAATGAAAATATATAAAATATTTTAACATTATTTAAGAAGCTATTTTGAAGTCAAAATCAAATAAATATTAGTTGAAATTAATTAATAGAATGTTTATGTGAAATATTTTGAAATATGCATGTAGGTATACTAAATATATAAATTTATTTTTAAAAAGTTTATAATAAAGTTTTTTTTACTAAAAAGTAAAATGGTGTACTATCACATCGAATATTAATAATTTAAGTATATGAAAACTAATTTGAAGCATATATAAATAATGGAATATATATATAAAATGTTAATATTTTTATCATAAAAATCTCTTTTGAAGTAATATCAATAAATTAATGCAATGCATATAAAATATTTTAAAATAAGTAAACAAATTTCATAAGTAAGAATATATAATATACAAAGATCATTTGTTTTATGAAATGGCATCATTATTATATTCAATAAATTAATAAATCATCAATATGCTGAAAAATTAAAGCATATACAAAAAATATTTGTATATGCTTTTTATATACCCATATGTTTATAAAGAGCATATATAAAATATTTAAAAAATTATATAATGAAGCACATTTAAAATAAAAATGAAATTTTACTTACTGAGTATGTAAAGTTTTTATTTTTTTTAATATCAATTAATAAATAACAAATTAAAAAATAACGTGAGTATATTTTTTATTGCGATTATTTTAATCCAACACCAGTCATTAATTGCGGCGTTTTAACAATGAATTTTTTTGTAATCTTATCATATTAAAATAATTTTGCAAGCATATTGCTGTAATTACGATCGATTAATATCATTATTGCAAAAAGCCTTAAAATTTGCACATTTTATCGCACATGTGTATTATCATTATCATTAATTTGTCATTGGGAACTAATGACAATATAGATTATAGTAGAGTGAATTGATTTATGAAAAAATCATTAATGCACTAATATACACACACATGTATATATATATATATATATATATATATATATACATAGAAAATTCTAGATGAAAGCCTCTGTTTTTATTTAAAAAAATGTTTATAAATATTTCTATATTTCAAATATTTGAGATGTTTTCTTCCTCAGAAAATGTTAAAAAATCTGTTTTTATAAATTACCTAGGTCTTACTAATTAATTTTTGAATTTATGAAAAATTTTAAATTCATTTGTTTACTTATACTAGTACACAGGTACAAGTGCTTTGAACAATATAAGTTCTTTGAAAACATTTTTTTTTTTAAATGTTACCTTACTTACCTATTTTAGTATGATCAACATTGAGATGTTCATGAAAAAAAAAATCATTTATATTCATTTATATTTACAACAATTTAATAATCTTGCCACTAGTATTAGCTAATGTTATAGCTATTTTATACAAGAAATTATCAAGTATATAACTTGCTATTGATAACATAATAATTTTTAGTTTAGATAATTTTTTTTATAAATGTGTTGTAAATATAAATAGTAGTTATGGCTTTTTTATTATAGAATAGATAAATAACAATTTAGAATCTTGTCCTTCCATATTTATATAGTTACTAAATTTAAACCTGCATTAAAATATCTGTTAATGTTTCTGTGAACGGTAATATAAATATTATCATATCATAATGATTTATAGATAAAAATTTTATGACTTTTTTCTGGAAAATTGAGTCATAAAGTTTGAAATCAATCCATACGTAATATAGCGTTACTGTGAACTTTTATAAAATTTCAGGAATTTAGCAATAAATATTATTTATATATAGTTGTATTTATATATAGTTCATTTATTTTCTAATAATATAATAATAAATATTTTTAATGTTTCAAAATTGTTTAATGCTTTTAGAAAAACTTGAAATATTTTAATACAATTTGGTCCCTGAAAATATTAATATATAAATAAATATAAATTAATTTATTAAATAACAATAATTCAAAAATTATAATAAAGACAAAATATGCAAGAACAGATGTAAAGCTATTTTATATTAGTAACATTATTAGGTTAGTCCTAGTGTTCTGGTTTCGGGATGATAATGATAATAAAAATGATTAATAGATAATAATTTTAATAGATATTTGTTATTTTTAGTATGTCTTCTTGGAATGTCTGGAGGTGCCATAATGTGTTGGCCAGCATCAGCTTTGCCAGAAATTCAACACCCAAATTCAACCCTCACCTTGACGATCACTGAGGGTAAGTATTGCAGTAAAAATCGCATGTTTTTGTAAATATGTAAATTTTTTTATTATAATAAATAATAATATATTATTTTTAAATTATATATTGGGAAATATATATATATATATATATATATATATATAATTAATTTCTCTGTTAACATTTTTTAACTTTCCGAAGATGTTTGTTTATGCCAGAAAATCAGACATGCTAATTTTATGTTTTGTCGATGTTTTAAGTCATTCTGAATTATTTGAGACTAACATTGAAAAAAATATGGGTGTCTGTATGATCACTACAATCATTACAATTAATTAAATGCATCTTCAATAATTCTACAAATGGCACAATGGATTTACTATATCTACTATATTTCATATTTTTTATCAATTCAGGAATAACTGGTTGTAAGTATCATTTTGCCTTGAGGAAAGTCGCACAAACTTGCCATTTGGTTAAACGTCAACTGTAATCAGTAGTATTTTTATTGTATTTTTAACTTCTCGTAGGGCAAGTTATAGTAAAAGCAAACAAATTGAAAATGAAATTTTTTATAAATCTTTACGTTTCAAAGGTTTCTAAACATTTTGGCATATCTTAAAAATGGATGTATGTGTGTGTATGTGTGTGTATGTGAGTGATGTGTGTGTATGTGCTAAACACAAATTCTAAACTTTTTCATTGTTATACCACTTATCGTAGGCCTATAATATTTTAGTATTTAGTGCATAATACAAAATCTATTGTCATACAAAGTTTCATCAAAATCGTAAAAATAACATTTTTTAACTTCCCGTAGGGCAAGTTATTGTAATGGGCCGAAAATCGAAATTGAAAATTTTTACATTTCTCGACCTTTTGAAGGTTTCTGAACATTTTGGCATACCACAGAAAAATGGATGTGTGTTTGTGTATGTATGTATGTATGGACACAAATTTCCAGTCACGTTTTCAGGCGCAGGTATCAACCGATTTGAATGGTTCAAAAAACATTCGATTCCCATTGATAGGAAAAAGAGCTGATTGGTTTTTGGCAAAGGCAGGTCCAGCCGTTTCGGAGATACGGAGCAAAGAGTGCAGAAAATAGAAATCGTGTTTTTGAGAGAACGGTGTATCCGATTTGAATGATCTAAAGAACATTCAATTAGTAATGATTGGGTAAAGTGTTTATTAGTCTTTGGCAAAGGCAGGCCCAGCCATTTTGAAGATACGGAGCTAAATGTGTAAAAAATAGCAGTTTTTGAGGTTCGATTTAAATGATTCAGAGAACTTTCTGCTTCAAAGAAATTCAAAGAACAAAATAATTGATTTTGAAAAAAAATTTGTTTCAACTTTTTTTTTCAAAATTTTTTATTTTGTATATCGAAAATATTTCAGATTTTATTTTTAATTATGACTATAGTTCAAATATACTTTAAACAAATAATTTCAACTTTGCAATTTAGTTTATATAATTCCTATAAATATTAGACGATGTTACAATATTAATAATAATCTATTTGAAAACATTCAAAATTCCTCGAACGTTTCGTTACGGTACGGGAAGTTCCAGGAATTTGTCTTAAGGCACGATGCCATACACCCCACTAGTTCAATATTAAAATACGAATTAACTCTTTCCTCACGAACGTGAAAATAGATAAAGTTAGATAATTTATAACAGATAAAGTCAGAATTCATAACGTTTATTTAATAAAAACATGTCTATTACCATTTCAGGGTCATGGGTAGTATCATTGATAGCAGTCGGATCAGTTCCAGGCGCATTTCTTGCCGGTTTTCTGGCAGAAAAATTCGGACGACGTGCTACCGCTTTATTCCAAGCTGGTCCAATTTTACTATCCTGGATACTAATATCAGTTGGACACAACGTTTGGTTCTTGTATACAGCACGATTTCTTGGAGGTACCTCTGTTGGAGGCACAGGAGTCATTGCTCCAATGTATATCAGTGAAATCGCTGGACGAAAACGAAGAGCAACTTTAGTAGCTTTGTATCCATTATCCTTATCCTTAGGAATGCTTTTATCTTTAAGTTTATCCACGATTTTAACATATAGATTTCTATCAATTGCCATAGCTAGTGTGGCAGTATTTTTTTTAATGACGTTTTTCTTCGCGCCTGAATCTCCTGTTTACCAAGTTTTGAAAGGTGATCTCACTTCGGCTAAAAGATCTTTAGATTTTTTCTATGGTAAAGCAAGATCTGGAAGAGTTTTAGAAGAAACAATAAATATGATTAATTCTACAAGTTCGGGTGAGAAGTTGACACTGGGAAAGTTGATCAAGGATAAGGCTTTTGTTAAAGGTTTGATAATATCTTTGGGAATTATGGCTGAACTTCAACTTTGTGGAATCAACTTTATAACTGCATATTCGGAAAAAATATTCAAGGTAAATTAGATAATATGAAAATACAATATATTCATGGATCACACACTGAAAAACTATATTTTGCATTTATTAACTTTTTATCTTAATATCCATGTCTGAGTAGATTTTACGCCAGTGCAAGTTTCGTATTAAATTAGTTATTTGCATACCTAATTTAATATATTAGTTCCTATTTATTACATTATATTATTTAATTACTGGTTTTTGTATATGTCATTTCAATTAACAATACAATTGCATTAATTTTATGACAGCATAAAATGTGTATTGTTGAATGAATTTAAAACAAAAAGCCATGTAATATTGGATAATTAAATTTAGTGAATAATTATAAATTTGCGATATTGAGATGACTAATTACAACGTAAAATGGGCATTTTTATGATGGAATTATGATTGCAAGCTTCATTGAACAATACTTCAACTAGTAATTACTTTTCGACAGTCAAATGTAAATTTTCAGTTCAATTTGACGTTGAAATTATTCCAAATTATTTGACTCAAAATTGGTTAATGAGTGTTAACTAAAATTTTATAGAATTTTGAATTTTCTACAAAAAGCACTCAATTAATTTAGAAATTTTATTAAAACTTAAATAATGACCTGTATTGATTAAGTTTAATCGGAACAAAGATCGGTGTAGCCGTTTTTTTTTATAATTGACAGTTGATTGAAAGCTTTTCTTGATTCTCGTATTTACTTCCAAATAGAAGTTTTTTTATTAATCAGCGCAATTTTTCATGTTTTTGGGCGTATGAAGTTTTACCAAATACTTCGACACAAAATTGAAGAAAGCACCTGGTTGTTCTTTAGATTTCAAATTGAATTTTTAATTTTTTACAAAACGAGTCAACAAATTTCCAAACCTGGATCCTCGACTGGTTGATTAGCTATGATCAGTATAAAGATGGGTTAAGCCATTTCTTTGTAATTAACAGTTAAATCAGCATGTTTTTGTCAAGGTTTTTACTCATGATACTAATAAATGTTTTGTTATTTTATTTATTTTTAGATTAAAATTAAATTTATTTATTTAGGTTAGAATTTGGTTAAAAATTTGAACCAGATTAAAATGAAGTGAAGGTAGAAAAAATCGTGTGACAATTTTCAAAATTTAAAAAGCGTTTTTATTCTGCCTTGGCACCAACTATACTCCTAGTTTTATAAAAATTGAAAGTTTTTTAAGAAAAATCTTTTACCTTTCAGGAGCTGAACAGCAGCGTGGACCCAAAACTAGCCTCCAACATCATCTTCGGAGTCCAAGTATTGGCAGGATGTACCCAACTCTTCATAATCAACAAATTCCCTAGAAAAGTTCTACTTCTCCAAAACAGCATACTTGCATTTACCACTCTCACCATCCTCGGCCTCCAAAATCTCCTCGGTTGGGAGGCAGGATGGTTACCAGTGGTCTGTTTGGTAGTTTTCTCTCTCAGTTTCATGTGGGGTTTTGGAGCCCTCTGTTTCACAGTCATGGCAGAAGTTTTTTCTTCAAAAGCAAGGGAAATTGCGTTTTCCTTGAGCATTGTTTTGATGTGGTCGTTGAATTTTTCGGTTACTAAATCGTTTCCGATGCTGCTGACTACTATAGGCATTGGATGGACTTTGCTGATTTTTGCTGGTTTCATGTTTGCTTCTGGGTTTCATATAATTTTCATAGTTATAGAAACTAGAGGCAAAACTTTGAAGGAAATTCAGGATGAACTTTATGGAAAAGGCAAACCTACTCAGAAAACGTGATTATTGTTTTATATTAAACTATAAAATAAGCATGAAGATATTACAATAAGTATTTTAATTATGATGCGAGATTTTAAAGATTTTGAAAGTAATCTTACAAGATGACTGCAAATTTTGCACAAACTAAATAACTCCTACTTTCTTTAACATCTACTTATCTTAAAAATCCTACTTTGATAGGGAAAGAATATAACATTAGGATAAATTTAGTTCTAAATATTGCATTTATTATTTCTGGAAATCTGCCTATTATATAGGCAAAGATTATTTTTTATTTATACATTATATATCTACGGGTTAGGCTTATTAAGCATATAATGTAAGTTAGAAGTTAAACTGATGAATTGTATATAATAAAAAAATACTATGACCATGTTGGAGTGTATTTATATCAGTTTTCGTAAATTTATTGAATTATTGTGAATGTATAGTTTTTATTATACAGATTTTTTATGTATTGTGATTTGATCTAAATTAATTTGTTCTAATTTTGTTCCAAATTAAATACCAAATAAAGTTAACTTATTTACCTCTTTCTTTGAGTTTTATGAATTTGTTAGTAATTTTTGACTAAGCCCAATAAATATTGATTTATTCTAAATATGTTAAGTAAGTACCACGTTAGTTTTAACTGCAAAATTAGCTAAATTTCTCACTATTTTGTTAAGTTTTCAGGAAATTTTCTTTCAAGATGGAGCTACTTGAATCAGGTACAACAATATTTTTCCAGTCCATAATTCCATAATCCATAATTACTAAATTATTGCCTTTAAATTTCCAAAAACATGGGTATCTCAAGAAACAAAACTTTTGTTTTAATTAAATGCTAAAATACCAAAATAAAAATTACCAAAAAAATAATTTTTATATTATATATAAATACTTTTATTGATAATATAGATTAGACTTTATATAACTTTATATTATATATATATATATATATATATATATATTTATATTTATAAATATAAATATAAATATAAATATATACTGGTATGAAAATTAAAGAACATATTAATTATCTTTAAAAAAATATTAAAATGAGTTGTTTGTAAATTTATACATTATTATAAACATAATAAATAATGATATTTACACCTCAAATATTCAACTCTGTTGTATCGCATTATGTTAATAATGAATTTATTCTTAAATAGTGAAAAATAATAAAATTATTATAAATTAAAATTATATAAACAAGCACAATACTGTTATATTCTAAATAATTAGAAAAAGAAAAAGAAAAAATAATTGAGTAAGTCATTATTAATTTATTACTAACAATCTTTTAAAAATTAGAACAAACATTATAATCAAATTTATATTTAATTTTAATTTAAAATAAAACTAAATATATCACTTTCTTATTTTCGAGAAAAAAAATAGTAAGTCATTATCAATTTATTACTAACAATCAAATAAAAATTTAAATAAACATTATAATCAGATTTATATTAAATTTTAATTTAAAATAAAACAAAATATCTCACTTTCTTATTTTTGAGAAATATAATTGAGTAAGTCATTATCTATTTATTACTAACAATCAATTAAAAACTAAAACAAACATTATAATCCGATTTATATTAAATTTTAATTTAAAAGAAAACATAATATCTCACTTTCTTACTTTTGAGAAAAAAAAAGAGTAAGTCATTATTAATTTATTACTAACAATCAATTAAAAATTAAAATAAACACTATGATCATATTTTTATTAAACTTTAAATTAAAATAAAACAAAATATCTCACTTTCTTATTTTTTCTCCAATAATTTAAAACAGTTAAAATAATAATATGTAACAAAATTTTTGAGTCACACTTGATTTCACTATATATGATTTTGATAACAATGAATAAAAAAATAATATAAAAAATTAATGAAATTATTCAATAATAATTATTTTATGTCCAATTTATTTAAATTTTGTATAGAACATGATTAGATACTAGATATATATATATATATATATATATATAAAATATTTCACGAGTTTAAGTAGTAAATTAGATAACTATAATTAAAAGATTGAATTATTCATTATTAAAAATGAATTATTGTTTTTAATATTACAATAATATTCAACTAAATAAATGAATTAGAGACCAAAATTTCATCATTATGATTATAATTGAATTTCTATGATTTCATCTAGTATTATTTTTTATCTGAAAATTACTATAATGTACGTAAAATGTTTCATATAGTTGAAATAAAATGGACATATGATCTCATAAAAAATGTCTATAAAAAATATATATAAAAAAGATATCTCAGAGGAAAGTATTTACATGTATTTACACCCAGCATATTCTCTAAAAAGTGTATATTTTTTTGATCGGCAATAAATCTATGCATATAAATATATATATATATATATATATATATATATATGAAATAATAAATTAGATAACTATAAATGACTAACATTATTTTCCCATAAATAATTATACAATAATTATTAAAATATTGAAAAAATATTATTAATTCAATATAATATTTATGTTAAATCTAGTTTTATTTAGTTAATTATTACAATCAATCAACATTAATGCATTAATAATTATTTATGCCAGAAATTAACTAATAATTAAATTAGTCAATATAAATATAATTATATCTAATATCTTTAGGTAAAATTTAATTTTATTTTGAGTGATTTTTTGTGTAAAACTTGATTTTCTAAAAATCAAATATTTATTTTACCAAAAAAATTTCAATATTAAATTTGATTACTATAAATAAAAATTTTTGATGTAAATAATTAAACAAAATACGTTAAGCAATATTACTTTATTATGAACTGAATTTACTTTATTATGAACAAATGTAAATTTGCTATTTAATTAAAATTTTATTTCCTAAATGTTACCAGCATTGTACTCCAATCCATTTACCACTCCCGAACGATGGCACAGCCCTGAACGTATTCTTTGTTGTGAATTTACGTAACACCAGACATTGGCACAATCGTAGTCGTTGAAGAGCCAGGCAGACATCAGTCTCGTTCGGCTCGTGCTAAAACTCACTTTATAACCACTAAATCTACCATCACCGAATGTCTCCTTAGTCAAGATGGTCCATAACACATCTAATTCCATACCAAATTGGTCCAGCAGTAAAGATAAAGATGTTACATCGGATGGTGTCAAGAAAAAACATGTTGAGGAAGAACCAAGAAAGTTGCTGGATTTCGAGGATATGTTGCCTCATATAGGAGAGTTCGGGTTGTATCAGAAGGCTTTGTTTTCTTTGATGTTTTTGGCGTCTTTTTATTTGGTTTTTGTGTATTTTACGCAAATTTTTATTACGGTTGTGCCGGAAAGACATTGGTGCAAGGTGCCTGAGTTGGAGCAATTGACCCAAGACCAGAGGTAAGGGTAATATTTTTTTTTGTCAATTAAAACTTTAAAGAGTATAATATAACTGAATTTGTGAGAATTCATTTTTCTAAATATGTGTGTGTGTGTTTTAGTCTCGAATTTATTTAAATATTAATTAAATGATATTGTTATATTCAATAATTTTTATTTATTTATGTGCAATAAAATATATGAAATACGTTAAGTATATCTTTTATTTTCCGGTATCTCAATCATCTTATTAAATATATAAAAAAAATATTTGAAGAAATTTAAGTTTAACATAAAATTGAAATGAATTGAACATAAAAATTTGGGTGGATGGCATCGTGCCTTAAGGGAAATTGCTGGAACTTCCCGTACCGTAACGAAATGTTCGAGGAATATTAAATGCTTTCAAATAGATTATTATAAATACTTCGGGACTAAAATTATTTCATTATCTAAAAAAATAGATTTTTTTTAGAATTATAGTAGTAATATAATTAGTTGTATGAATTATTCAACAATTTGTTCATTATTCAAAATATAATAAAATACCAAATATTTGAATAATTAACTTGTTTGTTTATACTGATTTTTATGATAAAAGTCAGGTACTAAATTAAATTGAATATTTGTAGTACAAATTACAAATTAAAGCCAGTTACAGCAAATTTTGACGAAAATGAAAATGATTTATTGGATTTCGAAGCTAAAAATGGGATTAAGATAATAAATTATCCAAGGGATAAGGGATAATAAAATATCCTATGATAAAGGGATAATGAAACTATTATGAAACAAATACCAATTTCAAATATATATATATATATATAAATGTATTTATATTTCAATTATAAGTCCAAATTATCCTATTAGTTGCAGTATTTACCTGCAACAGGTAAATTAGTAGTCATTGATTGCACCTTGTTTTGTATTGAATTCCATAGTAAAATTCTACTTTCAATTTCTTTTTCATTTACCACTAAGATCATATTTTCAAGACAATTTATTCACTACAAATTTTAATAGAAAACAAATAGAAAAACTGATATATTATATACCCAAATTATTTCATTAGTTCCAGTGTTTACCTGCAACAAGTGCATAATAAAATTCCACTTTCTATTTTTTTATCTTCTACTTCTCAGATAGTATTTTCAACACATTTTGTTCATTAGATAATTTAATAAAAAACAATTATAAAAATCGATTGATAATACTTCCAAATTATTTCATTAGTTGCATTGTTCTACCTACAACAAGTAAATTAGAAGTCATGGAATTGCACTTTGTTTTGTATTAAAGTGCAAATTAAAATTCTACTTTCAATTTTTTTCTCATTTACGTCTCAAATAGTATTTTTAAAACGATTTGTTCATCAGATAATTTAATATTAAACACATACAAAAATCTATGAATTATACATCCAAATCAGTTGCATTATTTTACCTGCATAAATTTGTAGTCATAGAATGCACTTTGTTTTGTTTTGGAGTGCCCAGTAAAATTCCAATTTCAAAGTTCGTTTTTATTTAACTCTTGAACAAAAAATTTTCTTATCAATTGGTTGTTACAATAAATTTATTAATAATTCGATTACAACCAGGAACTTGTCAATTTCTAATCAAGGCATTTATAACATCAACATTTGCATATAACATGGAGCACCTCTTCTCTGATAACATCAGAATAAAAATATAATAAATTGTATCCAATTTCTTTAATTTATAGCAATTGAGTTTAATTGTTTGGCAGATAAGAATTTATGTCGTCATTAAAATTATTGAATTGATTTCTACAGGTAAATTTAGCAAGGTATTAATTTGCTAATGAGCGTGTTGATTAATTTGTAGACGTTTGCAGATTTTTTATTTAGTTTCGATGTTTTAGTGTTTATTTTTATATATATGCAATTATAGTCGACCAAAATATGTGTTATTAACCTGTATTTATTTGGTTGTACACATTTTGAAAGGTTTTATAATAATATTGAATTTTTAGATTCAATGCACTTTAAAACACTTTCTCAGCTTCCTTAATGCTTTCCAGATAAGAAATTATCACTTCTAAATTAATGAAGAAAAATATTACTTATAAATTATCATACCACTGAGATTGTGAATTAAATATGAATTGTGAATTATATATATAATGTTTAATTAATCCAATTAATAAAAAAAATGAATTTTAGATTTTCCATAAAATAAAAAAAAAAATTTTAAATGCAATATTTTGGTCTCAATTTGACATTTTTTTCAATTTAAATATTCAATAATTTGAATGAGTTTTCACTTCTAAATTACACAAAAATAAAAAAAAATCAAATGTAATATAATTTAAAAAAGCCATATTATTGAAATCTTTGAAATTTGTTTATAATTGTAAATGTTTATAAAATAGATTAATTATTCTTAATATTTCTACAGTTGTAACACATACGTAACTATGCTAAATTAATATATTCAATTTTTTTTTAATTTTACCATATTTTTTTTATTTCTATTTAATTTTAAAATTTAAAAAATGATTTTACTCCTTGAACAATTTTTTTCTAAATATTTTATTTAAAACGATAAATATTTTCAGTCAATCTTAATTTTTTATATGTTTTGACATAAGATCTTATGTCATCAGTGGATATAAAATAGTAAAGGAAAATAAACACTATAAAATACATTAATTAAGGATTTTGCATAATTAGCAAAAATGTTGTTTCAATTTTGCATAATTAGAAAAATGTTGTTTATATGTAAATAACTAATAACATTGATTTTCACGATTATAAATCTTGTAAATACAAGATGAATTTGATATTTTTCGCAAAAATAATAAACAAAGTACTAAATGCAAACGAACAATATCTTAACTGTAAAAATTGATAGCAAACGTGGCTCATAATTTAGTAATTAGAATTTATTTTTAACTGGGTCTTAAATATTCTAATTTTGCTTTTTTATGAAATAATTGACCTAAGTAATTATTTTGTTTTTCAAATACGAATACATAAATACATAAAATCCGATATATATTTTAAATAAATTAAACTATTTATTATCTACGATACATTAGTTTTTATTTATATTAATTCACGTTTTGTTTTTCTAATTTCAGATTAAATATAGCAATTCCCAAGGTTGTTGCTCATGATCACGATAAAAGTTTTACACATTCGCAATGTACGAGATACAATGTGAATTTTACGAAATTAATTTTGGAGAATAATCTACCTCCATATCCTGATCCTAATTGGCCAGTGATCAACTGTGATCATGGTTGGGAATTTGATTACTCGGAAATTCCTTATATGTCCATCACAGCTGAGGTAAGTCATACATGCAATTTTGAATTTTGATAATTTATTTTTTGGTGATTCAATTTTTAGTGATTAATGTTTTAGTAGTTTATTTTCATGGTAATTCATTTGGTTGGTTATTCATTTGATTACTTACTTATTTGATAATGCATTATCTGCATTATGTTGGTTCTTCAAATTACAGAGTACACTTGCAATTTTTAATTTTGAAAATTTTTCTGTGGAAGTCGATTCTATGGATTTAAATTTATAATTCTATGAATTTAGAAATTTGTATCCTTTGTATTTCGAATTTTGAAATCTATAGATACTCCGATTGTATTTTTTTAGATTTCATATTTTGAATACTTTGGAGATTGCATTTTGAATTGTGTGGATTTTGTATTTTTAATTCTTTGGATTTATATTTTGAATTCTATCGATTTCAAATTTCGTATTTTATCGATTTTGAATTTCGAATTCTATGCGTTTCGAATTTTGAATTCTATGGGTTTCGAATTTTGAATTTTATAGATTTCGAATTTTGAATTTTTGGCATTTCGAATTTGATTTTTTTGGGATTTCGAATTTTGAATTCTTTTATGGATTTCGAATTTCGATTTCGGAATTTTTTGAATTTCGAATTTTGTTTTTAGAATTTGTTGGATTTCGAATTACGATTTTAGAATTTTTTGGATATCAAATTTCGATTTCAGAAATTTTTGAATTTCGAATTTCGATTTTAGAATTTTTTGGATTTCGAATTACGATTTTAGAATTTTTTGGTTTTTGAATTTTGATTTTTTTGCATTTCGAATTTTTAATTTTTTGGATATCGAATTTTGAATTTTTTGGATATTGAATTTGGATCTTTTTGGATTTCGAATTTTAAATTTCCACTTCTTCAGATATTGAACTTTTTGAATTTTTTATTTTTAATAATTCAATTCTTTTATTTTCTCAATTAATTGGATTTTGAATTCCTCAATTTTGTGAATTATAAATTTTTCAAATTGGATTCTAAATTTCTCAATTTATTGGATTTTGAATTTCTAAATTTATTGAATTTTGAATTTCAAAATTAGTTGTATTTTTGATTATCCTATTCTTTCATGATGAAGGTGCTGATCAAATTGGCAATAAAGACTACGTTGATTTTTCCCAAAACGCCATTAGATACTTCCCATAAAAATCTCTGCTAAATTAATAAAATAATCTTTGTGCATCACTTTTAATTATTTTAAATATTATCTCGTCACCATGAAATTATATTCTTATCTTCACACTACGAATACTTTTAAATGTTTTAATTGACACACAAGTTATTCAAATGATCGTGTCTTTTAGATGGTCGTGGACACGAACGACTTAATCATAGACTAACATAAGAAACATCTAGTAAAATAGGTCAACTTATTTAACCCGACGTCTTGTTGTAATTATAACTGGTACAAAACAATATGCAAAAGAATTCAAATTTATTTGTTGATCTTGAAATGTAATAAACTGTAATTGGTTGTTGAGCATAATAAAATATTGACATCTATTTGATTAGACAATTTTAACAAATTTCATAAAAGGACACATTTTATAGATCAAACTTTTCGGCAAAATATTAAAAAATATTATCAAAGTACTAAAAATTATCTATAACTTAGAATGTTTCACATTTATTTTTTTATTATATTTTTTCAGTTGGAATGGGTTTGTGAAAAAGCAGCCTTGCCATCAGTGGCCCAATCAGTATTTTTCTGTGGTGCCATCCTGGGTGGCCTGGTATTTGGATGGGTTGCTGATAGATATGGACGAATTCCGGCCCTGACTGGAACCAATGTAGTGGGTTTTGCTGCAGGAGTTGGAACTGCTTTTGTCACCAACTTTTGGCAATTTTCATTATGCAGATTCCTCGTTGGAATGGCTTTTGATAACTGCTTTACTATGATGTACATACTTGGTAAGAAAATGATAATACATACTATTTTTCTTGCTATATAATACTACTGATAAATTTTCAGTAAAATCAAAAATTTTATTTTTGAAACAAACAGTTGAACGTCTTACCTAAAATACCGATTTTCAAGGATTTTTGGAGCTCCTTGGGTGTAGGTGGTAATATTTAAAATTATTTTATCTTTCTCACCCACCAGACACCATGTCTATTTTTAGTACCAAAAAATGTATTTTATCTATGAAGTTTCGTCTTCCATTTCTAAAATAATCAGCTGTAGAAACCGTTCGTCATCCAAGAATTTTTATTACAATTAATGTGCGTAAAATTATACAAACAGCAATAATTGCTAAATTTGCAACTTTTATCTCCCAGCATGTGTCAGAGATCCAATGTTAAATTATTTAAATTTAACATTTAGTCATTAAAAGATTAAATACATTCGCGATAATGATCTATTCAAATTAGAGCGCAGAAATGATAAGAATTTTAAATGTTTACTAGTTAGTAATTCAATTCAATACGTTCAATTTCATTTATGAATTTTAGCAATAAATCAAAACTGTATTTTTGTTGTTGTTATAAATTGTTGGAAAGAATTATGAGTCAAATTGCTAATTAATTTTCTTTTCTGATAAATTTATTAGTAACGTCGTATTTTAGTTTTAATTATGCAAAGTAATATATATATAGTAGTTTGTATTTGGAATTCAATCAATTGAAAAATGCATAATGCATATGACGTTCAGATTTATCAACTTCTGATGTTATAAACAAGCAATCTATATTTTTATTTAAATTTATCATACATTTATCCAAGAAAATTTTAATGATTTTTAGCAAACATGTTGACAACTTCGTAAAATTCTGTAATGCACATATTTATTAATTAACATAAATAATTAATTACATTAAAATTAATTTTCAAGTTTATTAAAATTTATACTAATTTCTAAAATAAATTTGTTAATTATGATCAAACAAATGAATTTATTATGATTTTTGAAAAATCTATTTCAATTTTTATTTTTAGTTTTGGAGTACGTTGGTCCTTCATGGAGAACCTTTGTAGCAAATATGTCAATTGCCATATTTTTCACATTTGGAGCATGTGTTTTGCCCTGGATGGCCTATTTTATCAACAATTGGAGATTATTGGCAATAGCAACATCAGTTCCAATGCTTCTGGTCATTTTGGCACCATTTACTGTCCCGGAATCAGCTAGGTAGATGATAAAAAAAAATTATATTTAGTAGAATTTTAAAATTCATTATACGGAAATATTTAAAAAAACATTATCCATTTTATTCTTACATTTTTTCTTATTCTTCCTTATGTTTACATTTAAAATATTGCATAAATAATTCAAAATGCCAATGGCATTGATAAAATATCAAACTGCGGAATGTAGTTACTATAAACTAAAGGTCAAAAGAACTATTAAAATGTATAATCAATTGAGGAAGTGACCATTAATTTATTTATTGCTTTCACTAGTTTTATGTGAATTATTGGTAACAATTAGTAATGAACAATTTTCCAGGTGGTTGGTATCACAAGGAAAAATCAACAAGGCTATAGAAATCATGAGGAAATTTGAGAAAATCAATGGACGTAAAGTTGATGAACAAATATATAAAGAATTCAATGTAAGTGCTATACTTCTTATATAAATTTGTTCCAAAAATTATGTAGTTAGGTAATACTGAGTTGACCTGGGTGATGCAGAATGAAATTTATCTATAGTTTACTAGTTGGATAATGGTTTCGTAGCAATTTGTGAATTATCAATATTTTTGTCCACAGTATAGCTGTGAGCAATTGAAAAAGAACGAAGCCAACACAAAGCCTTCATCCATCATAGATTTATTTAAAACTCCAAGACTTCGTCTGATCACCATCCTCCTGATTACAATATATATGTGCATAGCCCTGGTTTTTGATGGTCATGTCAGGAATGTTGGTTCCTTAGGTCTAGACTTTTTTGTAACATTTACAGTAGCTTCTGCTACCGAAATGCCAGCTGCTATTTTTGTTACTCTTCTGCTGGATAGATGGGGAAGACGATGGTTGGCATTTGGTTCCTTGATTTTGAGCGGAGTTTTCAGTTTGGCTGCTACTGCTGTTCCACCAGGTTAGTAAAAATACTATAAACCATCATTATAAATCCAAATTCTTACTTAATACTTTCAATTTTTTTAGGTATTTACTTTGCAACTTTTGCTCTAATTGGTCGATTATGGATCAACATTGCATATAATATTGGTATGCAATACGCTGCAGAACTTCTTCCTACTGTCATCAGAGCCCAAGGAGTTTCTTTCATTCACATCATGGGATACGTTGCTACCATTATAGCACCGTTTGTAGTTTACTTGGTAAATATCTGAAATTATCAAATAAAATTTTGACTTATAGTAATTGTGAAATGTACATAGGCTACAGTATCACCAGCTCTTCCCATGTTGATCCTGGGTGCTGTTGGTATATTTGGTGGTGTTCTTTGTTTGTTCTTGCCTGAAACTTTGCACCAAGATTTGCCTCAAACTTTGCAAGACGGTGAGGAGTTTGGAAAGAATCAGGACTTTTGGACATTCCCTTGTTTCTCTAAGTAAGTCACATAAACACTTTGAATTGTTCTTTATAGTGAAACCATATAATTTTAGCACCGAGCAAATATTTTTATATTTAGTATTTGAATTTTTACACCGTCTACAAATTTTCCAAATCCAAACTGGTATTCCGACTTGTTATCAGATAAGGCATTATTTGTTCAAGCATAATTGTATTTATTTATAATTGCAAACAATGGATTTTAAATCATACATAAGTATACCTTGTCAGCTATGTGTAATACTATAATAACTATTTTTAATCTAAGTTTAAATATAAACATTTGCTAACATTTTTTTCTCAATTTCTCTTCAAGATGATTAGGCATAAATAAATTAAGATTCATTAAATTGCGCAAAAATAAATTATGCGTTCAAAAACTAAATTTGAAGGCTACTTTATGCGTGTGTCACTATCTTAATGGAAATTTACACATTTGTCAAATTTCTGAACAAAATTAAATATGCAAATGATCTGTTGCCTTCAAAACTATTAAACTTAGAACCAAACGCATATTTTGATAAGATGTTTTTATATACGGTTTTTATTTTTGTGTTCAGTGAAGTAACCAATTTCTAAACAATAATTAATTATAATTAATAATTAATAATCAGAATAAAGACCAGCTTAATATACATAGAGGACCATTGCACGATTTTTTCCCTTCAAATCTGCTTTATCTTCCCTGATTAGTTACCTTTCCAGTTGTCATTCTACTTCTTCAATCTATATTTATTTTTTAGGCCTAAAAACGACTTAACCGATATTCCATTCGAAAGGAGAAGACTTTCCGTCATTAGTAATCCTGCAGAATTGCGATCCAGCATGATCCGTAGATCAGTCAGATCTATGAGTTGTACCCCAGCCAAAATTTTCCCTGTGGACGAAGAAAAAATGACAGAAAAAGTTGGCAAAGATAATCCTACGTTTACTGAAGAGTAATCTATAAATTATTGATAGATTAATCAAGATTCAAGAGGATGCTGAGGAGTCCCTTGTTTTGTTATCAGAGATCTGTTGAGATCTGAGTGAAATAGTTACCTTTGTATTTTTATAAAGGTAAATTTGTAAATATTTATATTAAAGATAAATTATTCGAGTGCATTTGGTGCAAATCTAAGTATTTGGCTATGCACTTTGAAATAAAATTCTAGTTATACACAAATCTAAATAAATTTATCAATTTATCACTAGTTTCTGAATTAAACAAATTATAGATATAAATTCGGTGATACTAACAATATTTTATTTATGTTTTTTAATTATATATTATATATTCTTAGGTAATCACTTAATTATAAACTTAAAAAGTGCCTTAATGATGAAATTGTGATATTGTCATATTTGTAAACTATTTAGTATTTAAGATTTTTGTATAAGTCATAGAAATAAATATATATGGACAAAGAAACTTCTTTGAGAGACTTATATAAACTGAATGAAAAAATGAGATCTGCATTGAACCCCTAATTTAATAAAACTAGTAATTAGTAATTTGGGAATTGTATTAAATTGAACTTCTAATTATTGAAACTAGTTTAGTTTCCTATGAAAATAATGATCTGATCTTAGCTTTATTTTGAAGTATGTTGAAAATTATATGCAGACATGTGGATCGTGTATTCAAAATGTATGAAAAGTACTAAAATTTGGCTCAAAAACTTAAAATTTGGTAAAGCTTTTTAGAATTTGTATAAAATATTATTTGAAGTTGTAGAGTTAAATGCATGTTGTTTGTTTTAGAGGTCCTGTAAGTCCTTCATCAAAGTTTGAGATTTTTTTTTTTTTTGATAATCGCTAATAATAAAATATGGTCCACTCTAATAAAATTCTGTTATCTATAAATAAATGATATATAAGTTGAGTATAAGACTAATAAAGCGTTGAGAAGAATACGGTTTCATTCTTAGCTTCAAAAGTGTACATGGTATGAAATAGAGGTCTGCAGCATATACTATTTGTGAATTTAAAAATATTTTAGAGATAACCATATATGTTTATTAAGTTTTATTTGCTTTAGGATAAGATGTCTAAATCCTTGAAGAGATTCACATCTTCAGATTTTCAGGAAATCCAAATATGAAGATGTGGATCTCTTGTGAATCCCAAAGACTTGTGGAACATCTTACTGAGGACCTTTTCTGCTAGACAAAGTCTCAGCAGAAATAAAATAAACATTACTAACGACCAATCTGAGTCCAAACTTGCGGAAAAATCTTTGATGAAAATGCTAAAGTAGGTATTGTTGACTTGGACTTTAATGAAGGCATTAAAGAAAGTAAACTAACTGATTTTGCATGCCTTCCAGAAATGTGATACTGAAAAAGAATAGGGCCAATGATATAGACTAACATTTTAGCAGATGAAAAAAGTAGTCAAAGTCTCAGCTACAATGAAAAGGATATTACTGACGACCAATCTGAGTCTAAACTTGCGGAATCTTTGATGAAAATCCTATAGTAAGTTTTGTTGACTTGGACTTTAATGAAGGCATTCAGAAACTACGTGTGGATTTTGCATGCCTTCTAAAAATGTGATACTGGGGAATAATAGGGCCAATGAAATAGACTAACATTTTAGAAAGTGGGGAAACGTCTACGACAAACTCTCAGCAGCAATAAAAAGGACACCACTGTCGAGCAATCTGAGTTCAAACTTGTGGAAAAATCTTTGCTGAAAATAATATAGTAGGTATTTCTGATTTGGACTTTAATGGACTTTAGTGGTTTCAAAAACTAGGTGTGAATTTTGCTGCTTTCTAGAAATGTGATACTGGAGAAGAATAGGGCTAATGAAATAGACTAACATGGTGGCAGCTGAAAAAAAGTACTGCAAGAAAAAATAAATCCACTATCTGAAGTCATATTAGAAAAAATTATTTCTGCAAGACTAAGACCTGCAGATCGTTGACAACTTGTACAAGAAGAGAAAACATGGTAAATGACCCCAAAGTATAGAAGTTTTTTTTTTTCTTTTACTCATTCAATATTATACAACAATGAGAGTTATTGACAGAACTTCATAAGTTATAGGGCTGAATTACCCAAGTCACAGTAAGAGATAAAGGAAAAGAAACAATAATAATAAATAAAAAATAAACAAATAAAATTGAATTACAAATAACGAAAAATAAATAAATAAAATGAAAAAACAAATGGTAGTAATTGCTCCAATAAGCAATTGACTATGGAAAACAGTTTTTTATATTAAGCAGTTCCTTGTGTAGTTTTTTTATAGGCGGATTATCAAGCAGAAGAGTCATTGTTGCATTGATTATAAATTTTTGCATGATGTTTAGTACTGATATTTTTTATGACATCCACTACAATAGGGATATTGAGGTAATCATGTATGATTTTGTTGCTCCCACGTTTGATTTACTACATAACCCCCACAGTTGGATTCCATAGGTCCATACAGGTTTAATTATGGTCTTATAAATTAGATGCTCATTATCAAATGATAATTTTGAGTTTTGACCAACAAGCCAATTAAAATCAGAGAGCTTAGGATTAATTTGTCTTCTTTTAGCATAATATTATTTTTAAAATACTTTATAATACATTTATGTTACTGCGCTTGTTATGAACTACTTACATGAACCATAAAGTCAATAATAGCTATTTAACATCTAGTATCATGTTTATTCATCACATTTATTTATAACTATCGATGCACGCGTTGAATCAAGGTTGATTTTTCTCATTTGATGATGGACATATGGACATATATGCACGCTAGAATAAATTAGTTCAGAAAATCTAATAAATTCTCCTACTTCTATATTAAATTGGAACTTCCAAAAAATATTTTTCGGCTCATTTTAAAAAATAATAGTTACATCTATTATTCAAGACACAAATGCAGTCGTGGTATATTATATAATGAGATTTTTGAACTCGATCGAAATTCAACTTACGGAGAACAATGTATTACTTAATCACTATTCGTGTTGAATAATATGAACTCACTGATGCCCAAATTTGGCAACACGGATAAGACGACAGTGACCAAACAAATGTACATATAAAAGTGTATTTGTATTTGTAATTTGAAATCTGAAGATGCAATATATTTTGGGCGTTGTTTGAAGGTAATATTTAGAAAATATTTTTTCTACTAATTTTATTGAAACTAACTCTATGAAACTTTGTTAAGAAATGTGAAACTCAGTTTCTACAAAACGTGAGGATTTATTTTATTATATTTCTCCTACCCATAAGCAACGTAATTACCTAGGTGTTAACAACTAGGATTATCCCAAAAATAATCCGTACACGTGGTGTCAATGCCCTCTCTCCTAGTTTTTTTATAGTATCCAAATTTAAATACAGGCCAGTAATCTGTTTACCCTTAAATTAAAGGTAGGAAGTAGGTAAACTCCACCAGCTGAAATGTACACATGGTTCAGGTGCGATACTTTGGATGGAGATCTTTATAGACCTTGGTAACTATTTACGAAATAGTGGTTGGAAGAGGATGAATAGGATTTTCGACATGGTAAATATAAAAATTATTTTTTTTATGATAATTATTAGTGTTGAATGTAACTGTGGAACATCAGGTTTTCATTCACATCATTTATCGGGTATCAATCGATTTCTTTGGATGTTTCTATAATAAAAGGAAACTGTAACTAGTCGTGCATGGCATCGTGCCTTAAGGCAAATTGCTGGTACTTTCCGTACCAAAAAAAAAAAATTTAAAAGATTCAATTTTCTTTTAGAACTCTCAAAAAATCGATTTTTGAGATTTTTAAATTTTTGAAAAAAATTTACCTTTTTGAAAAACTGCATTTTTTTATACTTTGAAAAGTTTTGGAATTTTTGAACTATTTTTTAAGACAATTGTGATACGTTAGCTGTTCAATCGGTTCGACCTGCCTTTACCAAAAACTAAATTATTTTCAAAAAAATATTTTTTATCTCCTGTGACCTTTCTATAATGCTCCATTTTAGACTATTACTAATTGTCCTTACAATTATCTATAACAATAAAGTTAAAAGTCGATTAATCGATCATTTATCGATCCCAGCCACTAGTGGAATTTCTTTCTTTGGGGCTCAGAAAACCAGTTTGTTTGAATGTCAACATTATCGTTTGCGTACGAATGGGATGGTTATATTCTAGTGGGCTTCATTGTGAAAAAGTGGGTGAAGTTAGAGCGCTGGTGATAAGTTTATTCACAAATTTTAATTCATGTTAGATTTTGCGGGATATATATATTTAAATGCAATGCATACTCAATTCTTTTTCATAAAGTACCTATTTATTACAATATGAAACAATCATAAGCTAAGCGTATAAGATATTTATTCGATATGTATGTACAGTTGTGTTTGAAAAAAAAAATTTTTTTTCAGGCGTTTCGATATTAACTACGTTCCATCTAACTCAATGGAAATAATTTTACTTTTTAATTTCTAGAAAAACTTTTACGTTTTTACTTTTTTTTATCTATTGCTATTCTCTAATTTATTTTTTGCATTCATTGTTCATTATATTGTGTGATAAAATGTACCTACTTACATAATTACTATATTTCAAAAACTTTTTCAGTTTTAATTGAATTTAATCTTCTCATAACTAGTTTAAAAAATCTAATATATAGGCCCTTAGTTAGTGACAGAATTTTTGATTTTCTTAAAACTATATTATTATCAAATTCATTAATTATATTTATAATTTTATGGGAAAATATAATAACTATTAATAAATATATTACACTTAAAGGTTAATAAACATGCTCTTCATTTATAAAAAATAGAAAATGAAAATTTTTATGAATATTTTGGCATACCTTAAAAAAATTGATATATGTGTGTGTCTAATGTGTGCGTGTATGTATGTTTGGATACAAATTTTTGTCGACGATTTCGGGAACAGAGTTTTTGGCAAAGGCAGATTTAGCAGTTTTGAAGAAACATTTTATTTGTATTGATAAAATGAAGTGCCGTTCCAATTTTTGGGCATGCAGGTCTAGCGGTTTCAGAAATCGAGTAAAAAAAGTAAAAAAAACGCCATTGCACAGTCAAAATGATCTTTAGACATATGCACATCAAACTATCAGATATTTTTCAGAGATTTTAATAACAAGTATGAATTTTGTTTACATTTCTATGAGTTCCGTACTAATATATTATCCGTTAAATCCGTGGATATTTCTTCTGTAAAACAGCCATGCAGCACAATTGTTTTGAAAAAAATTCAAAATTTTTAGAAAAATTTGAAGTGTAAAAAAAACTTCAAAGTATTAAAAAGCAAATTTTTCAAAAAAGATTTCTATAATCTCATTTTTTCAAAGTTTACAAAAATTTTATAGGTTTAATTTAAAATTCAAATTTTTGATACGGGAAGTTGCTTTAAGGCACGATGCCATGCACCACCAGTTTTATCAATACATTCAGAAATGTATCTTAATATTTATAGAGAGTAGTAGATGGGGTAGTAAATTATTATAGTTATCCTTTATATTTTTCATTTGAAATAAATAAACACCCAGCTCTCCCTCTATTATTACTCAGGTACCTTAGGCAAGTTCTGTTCCAAACGAACGCAGCACATTGCGCTGGTGCAATGCCGTGAAAGAACATTTCTTGCTTCGAACTAAAAACTTTCGGAATGTTTGCGCTTCGTTAAATGTTAATAAAATGATTTTTATAAATGAAAAGTGCCGGAAAAGTCGTTAGAAAATGTAGATAGTTCTGTGTGCTAAGTGTGTAAAAGTTTTAGTTTTAATACTCCATTTAAATTCGAGCGTTTTAGTTTAGTTTCAAGGCATGATTGTTTCATGTTGCCAAAGCCTATAAGTATTTTTGTGTTACGTTTTTATAAGTTGAGTAATATATTTTGTGTTATTTTGAGGGTATTGGCAATTAGTATTATAAAGCTATTAATTATTCTGCAAGGTTCATTTTAAATAATAACGACAAGCGCTAATTGCCGTCTCGTTAATTTTAATAATAAGTTCTAATTGTTTACAATTGTGCGCGCGATGTGTAATTATTATATGTACTTGTGACAAACAATGATACAGATTCTTCTTCTCTCAGTGACCAAGAAAGTGATTTCATTTGTAGACGTATGAAAATAAAATACAGTTTCAATCATGGCTCCGCCGGATTTAATAGACTTGAGAAGTCCTGATGGATCGCAAAATCCCAGGATCGTTATTGAAAATGTAGACGCGAACAAACATGAATCCGACAGCGAGGATGTTTTTATGACACCATTAAATTCCTTGTACATCGACGAAGAAGCGTTTTATTCCACTCTTCCTGAAGAAACCGATGTAGTTCCTCCTGCAAGTGCTGACACGTCTGGTGAGATCGAGCAGTGTCTCATGGAATTAGATAACTATCTCCAAAGTTTAGATAACGACGAACCTGCAGGTAATGTCAATCAAGGTTTCGTTTTGGATGAAACCAGACCTGTGCGACCCGAAAGACGGAGACCGGCGTCTGCTGGTCGAGAATCTAGGAATTTTTGCAGAAGGAATCCTTTGAGATCAACGTGGACGGCTCCTAATGATAGGTTGACAGGATCGGATCAGGATTTGCATGTGTCTAGTAGGAGGGATTGGAGTTGGATTCAGGACGTGGCTGTGCCAGACGTTGTGGCGCAAGCCTGGTTGAGGAGGTCGATGAGGAGGGCGCAACCTATTGTTCTTCAGGAGGTAAATATATCGAAATGGGACTTCAATAAAAATAAAATAATTCACTATAAAATAAATATATATAGCAAAATGTAGGCTTAGGATGCGTCCATTAACCACGTGAGGTTTTTAAGGGGAGGGGGGAATTTGACAAAAAAACACAAAATATCACGTGCGGGAGAGAAGGGTATAGTAAGATATCATGTTTATTTATTTTTACCTGATTTTTAACTTTCAGTAGGGTAAGTTATTGTAATGGGCCGAAAATCGAAATTGAAAATTTTTACATTTCTCGACGTTTTGAAGGTTTCTAAACATTTTGGCATACCTCAGAAAAAATGGATGTGTGTGTGTATGTATGTATGGATACAAATTTTCAGTCCGGATCAACCGATTTGAATGGTTCAAAAAACATTCGATTCCTATCGATAGGGAGAAGAGCTGATTAGTTTTTGGCAAAGGCAAGTCCAGCCGTTTCGGGGATACGGAGCAAAGAGTGCAGAAAATAGAAATCGAGTTTTTGAGTGAACGTAGCATCCGATTTGAAATATCTAAAAAACATTCAATTAGTAATGATTAGAAGAAGTGATTATTAGTTTTTGGCAATGGCAGGCCCAGCCATTTTGAAGATACAGCCATTTTGAAGAGCCAAATGTGCAAAAAATGGCAGTTTTTGAGAGAACTAAGCGTCCAATTTAAATGATTGAAAGAACTTTCGGCTTGTTTTAACAAAATTGATTTTGGAAAAAAAATTGTATCATTTTTCTTTTTTAGTTTTTTTGTATATCAAGAATAATTCAGATTTTATTTTTAATTCTGACTAAAGTTCTAATATACTTTAAACAAATAATTTTAACTTTACAATTCAGTTTATATAATTCTTATAAATATTAGACAATGTTACAATATTTATAATAATCTATTTGAAAACATTCTGTATTCCTCGAACATTCCGTTACGGTACGGAAAGTTCCAGCAATTTGCTTTAAGGCACGATGCCATACACCCCACTAGTTTTTTAAAAAATCAAACATTTAAAAAAAGCAAATTTTACCATTTTTTGTAACTAAAAATACACGTAATGTTTGGTGCGAAAGGTGAATGAATGAATGAATATCACCACGTATCACCAAGGATGAAAGGGGTCCAAAAAACCTTAAAAACTCGAACACGTAGTTAGTGGACGCCTCCTAAATAATTCTACATAATCAATGTTTCCACAAAATTTTGTATTTCAGTTATTAAATAGCACATGTGGCAAATTTTTCCATCACTCACTTTATCATTTTCATCTTTCAATTTATTCTGAAGTCCCATTTCAAACAATTCCGAAGACCATTTACCCTAGATCAGTTACCATCAAATAACCAAAACAGGACGAACCAGTATCCAATTTGCTATCTATCAACCCAACGACAAGAACCAATAGTAGGCCTATGAGTGCTCCAGTTCAAGTTAACAGTAATTCCTTAGTAGCAACAGCAATTGGCCAAAGGCCGAGAAGTAGTTCGGCGTCAAGTAGATCGAGAAGAGCAGCAAGTTTATCTTCGACAGACACCGGCAGCGACACCAGCGTCGAAAGCAGTTGTGCAGATTCTGTAGATCAATCAGGGTAAGTGGATAGAGGATAGTTGTTTTTAATAATTAAACTAATTTTTTTTCATAAACGATTTTACACGTTTATTATTAAGCAGGTCAGTTTTATCTCCCCAGCATTGTATACACAGATATGAATATTTATTTATTTAAAACGTTGTATATCTACAGACGGTTTAACAGATGGTACAAATCTCTTCTTTGCACAACTGTTAAAACTTTGTTATTTACAGTAAGATACCATACGTTGTAAAATATTTTTGATGTAGGTTTTGACTAGAAATATATTATTTGTGAAGGTTGTTTTTAGACAGATTTCAAGAACCACATAAATTCTCAGACATTTATGGCTCTTACAACATGTTTGAATGATTTGATGAATCAGATTAAAAATCAAGAGGTTATATAATCAAACTAGTTGTGTATAGTAAGGCAAATTGCTGTAACTTCCAGTTCGTACACAAATATCAAATAAATGATAAAAATTCCGTTTATCTTTACGTTTCAAAGGTATCTGAACATATTGGCATGCTTTAGGAAAAATTTATGTATGTATGTGTGTGTGTGCGTGTGCGTGTGCGTGTGTGTATGTATGTGCGAATGCAATTTTTTGTTGACGATTTCGAGAACACGGATCAACAAATTTGAATGATTCAAAAAACATTCGATTTATTTTGATAAGGAGATGTGCTGATTAGTTTTTGCCAAAGGCAGGTTCAGCCGTTCCGAAGATACGGGGCAAAAAGTGCCAAAAATGGTAATTCATTTTTTGAGAGAACGGAGCGTCCGATTTGAATGATTTAAAAAATATTTCATTTGTACTGATGAAATGAAGAAATGATGGGATTTTTTAGGATGGCAGGTCTAGCGGTTTCGGAAATCACAAAAAAATAATTTTAACAAAATGCAATTTGGTAAACAAAAATGATCATTAGACATATGCACATCAAATTATCAGATATTTTATAGATATTTTAACAATAAGTATAAATGTTGTTTACATTCCTATGAGTTCCGGACCAATGTTTATCCGTATATTGCGACGCGGCGTCCACGCGCTTCAATATTTCGTTTCTACGCAGCTAACGTATTACGATTGCTTTGAAAAAAAAAATCAAAATTTCCAAAATTATTAAAAGTATACAAAAATTTAATTTTTCAGGAAGATAATTTTTTATTTTAAAAAAATCTACTTTCAAAGAATATTTTTTCAAAAATTAATTTTTGGTAGTTTCGGCAAATTTGCCTTAAGGCACGATGCCATGCAACCACTAGTTCAGATTCTGATAACGTTTAAGTAAGACATAAAGTGCGACTTATTTTTTTTGTTAGAACTATCCGTGACATAAACCAGATTTAATTACATTTAAAAGGAAATATAAATCCAGATCAGATTAATGATCACTAATGAAATTTAATTATAATTAAATATTGAGCGATTACTGCCTATAATATTTTTTGCTTGAAATATTGTCTTCCCATGGTTGATTCTCGGAACTTCTTATTAGAATCCTTTACTGTGTTCCATTTAGATTCTCTTGATTACATCAAATAATCATTTCTTATACGAAACCGATTTGCATCCAAGATAAATCTCATCGGACACATGGGAAATGTCGATGGACCAGTTTTGCTATATTAATACTAACTGTTCAACTTGCTTGGGACGAGTTATCTCCGAAGATAAGATGATGATAGAATCATAATTCTTCGCAATATTAAATTTTTATTTACTGTATTATGCTTTTATGACTTGCGCATATAATAAAAAGATGTCAATTCTGAACTTAACTGTATGCAAAGTCTGGTTCTCGTAATAAATGAAAGTTATTATCTAGTGACACGATCTATTGAAATGCATATTATAGAAAACTCGGCCATTGTTCTCAGTTGTAAAATAGATGCAAATTTTATTCTGAAATGAAACTACATCTTCCTTTGGAGATTTGTTTCTGAAGAGTATGTGGTCTTACTTTTATACAAATCTAACAAGTGATAAAAATTATATTCTAAGCATTCATTTTGCCACTATTTTTGTATCTAATATTTTTTTACATTTTTATTAAATTTATAAAAAGAATGGTAAAATATTGTAAAAATATAATGAACTCTTTATTTGCAAACAGTTTATTTGAAGCCTTGATGAAAATACAAATTTTCACTCAATGCGTTTACAAGTAGATAGATTAGATTAGAATCAATATATCTAATTATATAGATTCTATATAATTTTTGTGCATTAAGTAAAAACAATGCATTTTAATATTCTATGATTATATAGTTGAGCAAAGGTCATCTTTGTCGAAATTAATAGAAATTTTTCGATAGACAAAATGATCAAAAATTAAGCATCGTGCCTTGGGGCAAATTGCTAGAACTTTCCGTACCGTAAAATAAAATTTTAAAATGCTCTAAAATACTTTGAAATGTTTGAAAAATATCTGATAATTTAATGTTCATATGTATAATGATAACTTTTATTCGCCAAATGAATTTATCTTAATTACATTAATACAAGTGATATTTTTTGTGTTTTCTCAAAATTGCCAATTGTATTACTTCTTATCCCGTATCTTTAAAACGGCTGGATTTGCCTTTGTCAAAAAGTAATCAACACGTTTCCGCATCATTTCGAATCGAATATTTTTTGAATTACTCAAATCGGACACTTGGTTCTCTCAAAATTGCAATTTTAGTTATTTCACCCCATATCTTTGAAACGACTGGACCTGCTTCTGCCAAAAACTAATCAGCACGTCCCCTCATCAATATGAATCGAATGTTTTTTGAATCATTTAAATCTGATGATACGTGCTGTCGAAATCTTGGACGAAAAATTGTATCCAAACATACACATATACATATACTATACACACACACACATACATTTTTACTAAGGTAAATGTTCAAAAAGTCATAAAAAATATACGGGAAGTTAATAATACAAATTACATTACAAAGTTAAATATAATATTTGTCTTTTTCATTTAATAAATTTTCAACAAAAAAGTCTATGCAATAGATATTTTTGTTTGTTTTGTACTTATCTTCTTCATAATAAATAAGAAATTAAGTTATAAAATAAATAAAATTTAAAAGTAAAAAACCACAAGATACGAACTATTTAAGTATTGATTTAGTCTTACAATTAGAGTATAATACATATAAAAAAATAACTAAAAATCGTAAAAACGTCTCACAGAATTTTTCACATCATAAAAAATCATAATTTATCATTTTTTCTGAAGACTTGTAATAAATTTTTGTCGAAATAAAAATAATCTTCGCGCCTCTCAAAGTTTCAGCAAATTCGTCACGACGAACATCAAATTCTTTTTTACAATACATCGGCATAATAAAATTTAAGAAATATGACGAATTTAATCCCAAACCATGAAACATTTTAATTGTCTCGAGGAATAAAAAAAAAATTGAAGTATGCCACATTTCTGGTTTATGAAAGTTATAGGTTAAAAACTTATATGTGAAATTTTAGGTATATAATCAGTCCATTAATCCAATATTAATCTAAACGTTTAATTAATAGAAAGTGTTCTTTATCCATAGTACAATCACCCTTTAAAAAAAAAAATAGTTTTTATTCTTGATTTCTATATTGTTGCTGATATAAATATAAAATATATTTTGAATATTAAAAATCTGAATTTGAGAATCATAAAAATATTAATTTAAAAAATCTTATAAAATTATAGAAAATATCAAAAATAATTATCTATAAATTAACTAACGACTAATGATACAATTATTACATATTTAGACAGCAAAAAAAATTATTTTCTGAATTATTTGATAAAATAAATTCGATTTTATTTCAATCTAATTCTAAAAAGTACTTTGTATGGCTTCTGTATTTTGTGCATATATTTTTAGTTTTTTGTGAAACATATGCTATAAATTGTATATTCATCAATAGTGAATAGAACTATATTTAGACTTACTGAAGAAAAAAGTCGTTTATTATATAAAATTTTCATGGTTTCTATATCTGCAATTCATTATAGCACTCGGATCGATATGTCTGAACTTATGGCATTTGCTGTAGTGTCTGCAAAATATTTCACTGAAATATATATATTTTACTGAATACTAATAATAAAAATATATGTAAGATAAAAATATTTACTTTTTTCTGTAACCTTAAGAAAAAAGGTTCGACTCGTTCCTATCTGCATTTTCTTGTTGCACAAAACTTGTTCCTGGCGATTGACCTGCATTCGCGAGTAATTCCTCTCGTAAATTTGATATGAAGGAAATTTATTGAGAATACTGTTAAATGTCTTTAGCACTTATATTAAAACATAGTAATAGACATATAATATCGATATCCTGATGGTAAATTAAATTTTCTGATAAAAATTCTCATCCAAGTACAATCTACATCTCTGATGCAGTATTGTGTGAAAACTCGTGAATTTTTTAAATTTTTTAGTTTTTCTTATTGTAAATTAGTTATCAAAAATGCTTAGTTAATTTATGTATTCAAATTCTTCATTTAGGACATTGAATCCTAAAAAATGATTTTATTTTCTTGCCCTGTGTATTACAATATCTACCTTGTCCCCAATATGTTGCAAAATGTAGGTACCAGTATCGTATGCAAAATGGAAAACTTTCCAATGGGAAAATGCCTTTGTTAACGTTATTTATGTAATTTATACAACCATGGATGTAAGAAGATGTTCTATTGCAATATAAGATTTATTCATAATTATATAGACCAGGAAAAACTGTAAAAACAGTCGTGAGTAAAATTTTTTTATATATGTTTTATTACACCTTTTGTTAGAACTATTTTTTTTTCTTCATAGTTATTTACTTTCGCGTCTTAGAAATAAAAGTTGTATGGAGGAGTTGGACAATTTATTTACAGAACTTTTAGCAAATATTACTCAATTGGTTCTTCAACCGACATTACTTGTGAAATCTTATACAGTAAGTTGTTTTTCTAAATTTTAAAACATGTTTTACCAAAGAAATTCTAATAGCATTTTTCTTAAGTATTTTTTTCCTTTATTAAATAAAAGTGCAAGAATTGATCCTTGCAGCATAATTTTTAATTTTTAGTTTAGCTGTTACTTACCTGAAGTCAAAAATATTATTTTTTATTCTTGAGGAGTTTATGGAGTTAACAATTTGCAAAAAAAACAGTAAAATTAAATAATTTGTCCATTCTGAGGAGCTTTTTTAAATAATTTTCTTAATTGTAAAGTATAATGATATTTAATTTAAGATCTAGTGGTGTATGGCATTGTGCCTTAAGACAAATTGCTGGTACTTTGCCGTACCAAATATTATTTTTTTTTAAAACGATTAACATTCTTGAAAAAAATTTACTTCGAAAAAATAAGATTTTTGAGAAGAAACTATAAGTTGGACAAAAAATTACTTTTTTTGAAAAAAAAATTTAAAAAAAATTTTTTTTTTAAATTTTTTTTTTGAAAAAACATGTTTTCTTTATTTTGACATATTTTGAAAGATCTGAACTTTTTTTTATAGCAATCGTACGGCTTTAACTGCATATGGAAACAAAATATAAAGCGCGCGTAAGCGCCGCGTCGCCGTTTAACGGATAAACATTGCTACGGAACCCATAGGAATGAAACAAAATTTATACTTATTGTCAAAATCTCTATAAAATATCTGATAATTTGATGTGCATGTCTAATGTTATTTTTGACCGCCAAATGGCTCATTTTTTTACTTTTTCCCCATATCTTCAAAGTCGTGGACCTGCCTTTCCAAAAATTTGAACAGTTTTTTTATTTAGTCAATACCAAATATAAAATGTTTTTTGAATTATTCAAATCGGACGCTCCGTTCTCTTAAAACTGAGTTACCGTTTTTGGCACTTTTGCCTCGTATCTCCGGAACGGCTAGACCTGCCTTCTGCAAAAAACTAATCAGTCACGTCTCCTTATAACATACGGACAGAATGCTTTTTAAATTATTCAAATTGCTTCATCCGTGTTCCCGAAATCGT